CAAGGTGCCGTACACCACAATATATGCCTGGGAGTTCCCTACCGATAGCGCTATACCTGTGTTCAATTTCTTGAAATCGCGCTTAGGAAATGCCGTGTGCAGCCGTTGAATTTCAGTTATACGACCTAACCGGATCAGATTTCTAAAAACAGCTGTAATCTTTAAGGTATCTGTTAAGTGGTGAGTGTACGGCAAGGGATAAATATCGTGTTTTAAGTCGTCGATTATCATCTGTTAGATGCCAAACTTTGTTGTACTTTTAAGAGACCATGTTCAATGGAGATGCCCATAGGCTTTTTGAGAGTTGAGTAGGACTCAAGTCAATCATGTGCTCGGATCGGTTTTCTGGGAAACCTAGGCTTTCCCGGAGGTAATCGGGGCGCTTACGAAAATGCTGTAGTCGCGATATGGTGTGTAGCATTACTGGTTACCCACGGTAATTTTGGTCGCGTTTGGTACTGTTCAAGGTACTTGTAGAGTTGATAGTATGGGTGGATAATGTGTCTGACATTGACCAGCTATAACCCCCCACAAACAGATAATTCAGTTCTGTCATTGACTAAGCTACATTCGGACTGGCCAATGAATAGGTCATGGTATTATAAAAGGCCCATAACAATGATTGGTGTAGGAACTCTTGTTACGAAAAAAATCAGAAGAAAGAGTGCCAGCACCAATTACGATTATCTGCCTCTTGATACATTCTCGTGACGAGCTTTTTTGAGGAACTTGAGAGCGTCTGCGATTAGGACGAATATAGAGATAACGATTGAGGGGACAGCAGAGGCCTGTAATGCTATTTGTGTAGCTATTCTTCGACAGAATAAACCTCGGTGCCGGGGTTTCTGGTGGTCTCCAGAATACGGTCTGTAGATGCAGCTAGGATAAGAACTGCTTACGCCAGTTGATGAACTCCAAACAAGAAGAGCTATCCAAACGTATTGTCGTCAAGCGTCTGTCTACCAGTGACCACCCACATTGGCAGCAACATTTTTGTCCCTAAGACGTGTTGCAATTCGATGCTGTGGCAAAGCTGATCAAACCGTCGTCGGTAGGTTAGGTTTACACGTTCGAGGATAGTCTTCTTCGAAGTATCGTAAGGTTCTGAAACATCACTAGTGAGGATGTAGAAACACGGTTTACTATGATATTAGTAATGCTCTAGTAATAGACCTAATGCTAACTGCCTAATGTATAAGATCTTGCGTGGAAGTCACACCATTGTCCACATTGACTCATCGTACCGTTAAAAGTACCAACATGTGATGGAGAACACACTTAGTCTAGAGCAATCATGCCTGCGAGGCTAAGCCACGCCATTCCATCAATTTATATTAATTCAATTCATTGTCCCCGCCTTCCTATCGTTGAGCTTTTCTCCTCGTCAAATGTTGAAGATCTATTTTCTTAAGTGTCTCGTGTTGAGCATTAAGGATTGTGTGGTTAGGGCAAAATGCCACTGCATGACTCTCTCACCAGAATCAATGTGACGTTGGTTTGATACCAAATTGAGTGGAATTGTCACGCGCCGGAGTTTATCAAAAATAATGTAAATCCCCCAGGAATTGATAAGCTGAAAATTATATCAGAAAAAAGCGGTACTGTCTGGTCGGGATATACGCAGTGAAATGTTTTAATGTCTGGTTTGATGCTTAACACGCTTAAAATGAAAGCTTAGGAGAAGATTATTTGGGCTAAAACATGGGACCATAATAATGATAAAATGATTCCATGTAGGGATATCTTAATAAGTCGTCGTAAGATGCGTAATAACAGCCGTTGGTTAAGAACCTAATTCATAGGTACTAAGTATTTTGCGTTTAGAAATACTAAAAACAACTAATATTGAAAAATCTTAATATTGCTATTACCTTTGATTAAAACTTTAAAGACACATTACGATTATGCCGTTAAGCTGTCCACATGTGTTGATTTTCAACTGCATCTGCATTAGTAGGCTAACTGAAAGAAAACATTTATTACTTTGGAGAAGAATTCAAACTATTGCTCCAGTCAGTTTGATACGGTTTATTGAGTTACAGGGAGACTTTCTCGACCTCATTTTTACTTGACCGTGACGGAATTTATTAATACTACTAATACATATGAATGGTTATAAAAAACGTTTTAGTACGTGAACAGTGATAATTATGTGAATTTTGAACAGATAGCTAAGAACGAATCGTTAAACGTGGGTGTATTCGCGAGAGACCTCCTCTAGACTCAATGTTCTGACTTGCCATAGATTATTTATTTAAATTTATACAAGCTAGTCGCATGTATGCAGTTTATCAAAAACGGAACACGATTTAACAGAGATAGTGATAAGTGGTTGAAATTAACTAAGCCTATGTGCCGCAGTTATAGGTGATGCGGTGCTGCAAGATGTCTTCGGCTAAATAAGTCTTTACGAGATGATTAACAGTGAGTGATGCTCGTGTGATTATCAGGGAGACCATAAGTTGTAACCCAGGGGAGTAGACATTAATCTCGTGTCTGTGATAATGGCTTGATCCTTAGTCAGTTTTGGGGTAAATTGGACAGTGGTGCTTTTAGTTTGCAGGAGGTTTGCTCGACTGCTTATACTGATTATTTGCATGCATGATTGTGTCGCTAAACTTTCAATTAGAATGACATGATTTTGAGATATTTACTGAATGAGCAGTTGATAGCGAAACATACTGTAATCATCTGTGATGAATGAAGATAAAAGGAAAACAACATTACTTAACTAATTATAAGGCGGGTTCGAAAATATATTTTGTGAGCTATCTGTACGTTGAGAGGCCTCTGGTTTAAGCTGACTAGCAGTTGCAAGGGATGCGTACCACGGCGTACCCGCCCGTGATCTGGTGCGGATGTGCGACCGTGTGACTTCGGCTAGAGTGTGTCCTTTGCAACTAATGACGTCTTCATTGCTGTTGAAGACTTAAAACTACTTATTTCGGCAATTTACTAACCGCTACACGAACAATTAAATGAACTATCTTTGAGGTGATTTGCAGAGTTATAATCTCTTTCGTTATTAGTAGTGCTGTAATGATAGATCTAGTCCTAAAATTTTGAAGTCTAACCTGTTAAGTTTTGAATATCTATGTTCCCAGTTATCCCGTGTTCAGTCTTGAGGATTGTGTGGTTATGACCAATACTACTACACTACACTCCTAACAGAATCGACGCTTCGTTGTTCCCATATTGTTGCAGCTTAGCCTCGTTAAATGGTCACCTTAATAATCTTTGTTATGTCAATAATAATAATATATTTCTGCCAGAGCTGAAACACGCCGTTCTTGCAGTCATGATCTACAAATTGCAACATTAATTTTCTCACGGTATGCTTCTGAAGTAGGGTCGTTAGAATAATAAAATAAATAAGTAAATAACAGTTAATTCGTGCAGATATTTTGGAGCGTTAATGATTAGGTTTATGCTTTACTGCTATACTAGGCACTGTATTCAAAATCTTTCCCAAAGTGGCATCACGTCCACGTTACACACCAGATCCAATCTCGGTATAACTTTGTTAGAATACTGTTCATGCTGATTATTTATGCAATAAAACTTTCTGTGTTTACAGTTGTTATAAAATATATTTGTTGAACACTTGGTGTGAACTATGACCCCGGGAAAATGCACACGTCAAATCTGTTTCGGGTGTCAAACTTCTCATAATTTATCACTTAGAGAGAGATTCCGAAAAAGATCAACAAGGCACTTGGATATGAGCGCTAAACGGTGATTAAAATTTCGTAGTGGAACAGACAGAGGTACGATAAATTCACACTAGCTCTTGTTGCTAGAATGAAATGTGATCATAGGCTCCAAATGAGAGAAATGCAGCAATAAAGGACAATGAGTTTTGATATTTTCCAAGGTGGAGTAAGTTCAAAAGAAGGAAGGAAAGTCAAGGTTGGAATAACGAAGGTTGTTTATTAGAACGGAAAGTGCATCACGAGAGTAGTTTTAAGAAAACTAATAAACATATCTCCCACTGTCCGGTTTCTTTCATCTGATACCAGCCACAAAGTCGCAGTGTAAAAGTCCAAGTTAGCATGTCTTAGGTTGAATGTGCCGTTAAACGTGAGCAATTGCTTAATGGTGGTCGGTTCTGGGTAATCCAGGATGGCTGCCAATTTTCTTCTTAGATGTCGGATATCTTAAGCAGCAATAAGGTATTAAGAAAAATCTACAAAATTGGTGCTGATTTGACATTTCTGAATGATTACCGTAATGCCGTGTTTTGTAGTCGTTCGAAGGCAAGGTCCAGTAGCTGGCCATGAGATACTCTGTCCGAACTTGCGAATCAAAATACGCGTGCACAGAGCGAGGCCTCAAAAACGTCATCAGCAAACCCTTGGAAAGTTTGTGCAGCATTTCTTAAGCAGAAATATGTATGAAAAAGCTTGTAGAGTCCAAAAGGTGTGAGGACAACAGTTATGGGAATTCGGTTATATGCCTTAACCCAGTAGATCTTCGAAAAAAGTCACACCATTCACTGTAGCTGTCGAATCATGAGCGTCAGGCAACAGGTAACGATCGGGAATGGTTTTTGCATTCAGTCGTTGATAGTCATCAGTGTTTACTCTCCATTTTAGGAACCATTTACAAGGAAGATGCCTATGGGCTGTTAGAAGGCCGAATGATTCCTGAATCTATCATGTGGTTGAATTCATTCTCAGCAAACCTCAGTTTTTTGGGGGCTAGTAGGCGCGCTTTCAAGAACACAGGTTGTTGCTCTACACGGTGACGCGTGCTAAAGTAAGATGGATTTGCTGTGTACCTTTATCATCGTGAGTAGCATAGAAAACTTTTCTAACAGTGTGCCGTCGAACTTAAAGTGAAGCTGAGTGTCAAACAATCTAGGGCTTCACAGCAGTTGTTACTAAGTTCTTATCTGAAGAATTGACGGAAGCTCTACAGTCCATGTTGTAACGAATTGAACATCGAAGCTAGTCCTTGAGTACAGCGCTTCACTCGTCGTCTCGAAAACAGCTGGTTCCATGGAGGTGGTCTATCATGAACTATCTTCGGGAAAAGATACTAGTTTGTCTCAGGTTTTGTCGGAGTGGAGCAGAAGATACGAAGAAAAGTATGCCGCTTTACAGCGTCGGTTTTCTGGATTATGTAGCGGAGAAAACTACGGTATTACGAACACATCTAGACCAAGGTCTGGGGACATAAGACAGCCGTCGTACAACGGTATGTCACATTCTCAATTGAAGCTTGTATTTATGTACGTAAGGTTTCACCTTCATGCGTTTTCTAGTCGAACAGTTTCATATCTCTTGATATGAAAGCATCATTATCACATGCTCATTCAAAATACCGAAACGTTTAGGATTTGGGTATCTAACTACAGGAGGAATCTAATACTCTCGTGTACATAACATGTATGTTGGGAACCAGATCTGTCGCCATCCTCAAGTTTGATGATATGAGATTGCATTTAAACATAGGGATTCCAGGTAACCTTTGGGTCATGGAAACGAAACCTACCCTATTTAGAAGTTCTAATAATCAAATAATGCGTTTTCGCTAGCCAGTAACAGTGTAAGCTTTAATTCTGGCTCTTCGCGCATACGTGGTTATTTGTTTGCGTAATTTTAAATAAAAAATCTGTTGGTTGTTGTTAACCACTTGTTACAAGTTCGTATAAATCTTTTTGTTTTCTTTTCGACATTAGAACTTTTGGAAGAAATACAGAGTGCATTACAGCTGAAGGCAAATCTTTCTGTTGAGTTAGAAGCACTGCAACAAATTCGTTCGGAATTAGAAGATTCGGAATGCATGTCTGAAGTCCATTTTCGTTTGGAACGAGCCACCGAAAATAACCGACGTCTGCATGCAGCTTTACAGGCGGCGGATGAACAAAGTAAGTCTTTTTTCTGGAAATTTCACTTAGAGTCTGTAAAGATAATCAGAGATAGTTTATCTTCAAGTCAAATTAAGGATCTTTGTTGAAATGTCTCCGTTTCTCTATTTGTTGATAACTTCAGAAGCGTGACAACTAGAGGTCCGTAGTTATTACCCCTTTTGCCTTTACAGGTTTTCGAAATGAATACCAGAAATTTTATTTCGAAACTTAATTGTTTCACTCTTTGTAGAAACATCTCTGTATGAGAGGTTTTGGTATGTCCATAAGTTCCTATTATTTCATTTTAGTAAACTGAAAAGTTTGTTTTCTTCGTAATAACTAATTTTTTCGAAACTGTATGGATTACTATGTCTAATACTTTGACTTATCCGGATTCTAATCGATAATATAGAATAGCGGTATCATTTTCAATGACTTGCAAGCGTCACAGTCCGTTTTGTAGAAATAGCTAATTCATCTGTTTCATTGGTATTTAATTATCAATAATGTTTGGAATTTTACCGTAACTTGTTAGACTGAATTACTCAGGTCCAGGTATTAACTCGCCATCCAGACATTTTCGATATTGTCACTCACTAAAACCTGACGTAAACGGATTGCAGTAGATAGGTAGTGCTTTTCGACTAAGTGGAAAGATCTGTTGTTAGTATTTTTATGTTCTCATTTTCATAAGTTTTGTCCGTATGACTTGATAACTCTATATTTGTCCAGGTTTTCATGCTTCATATAAGAACATAGAAAAAGAGAATCAACAATATATGGAGCAAAAAAGTTTAAGACTGCAAATTTAGTAATAACACTCAAATGAAGACATAGAACAACTACTTCAGCCCTACTTCGGCCGGTTTTGAGCTGTATCACTCAACTACTCCAACCACGCATCACGACCATTCCGTGAGTTTAATAAGAAAGTCTGTGGCTTCTTGTATCCCTCAAATAAGCACTCAGTGACTTAATCGTTCTCTGTTATAATTTGACCTGTGTAGTCTTAGCTTAATTCAACGTATTCCAGAGGTAACCGGCATCGCATGTCGTGGTACTGGATGGTTAGGCATTCATAAAATCTATCCTAGCCGCATCAATCGATAAAGATTTATGACTTTTTCAACTGAGTTGCTCGTTTAAATGTCTTCTGCTTTCATAGACCTCGTTTCACAGTCATAAAATGAACAAGGTGAAGCACTGCAAAATACACCCACTTTTCAATAGAAAGATGAACACTTTCGAAGTACCGATGGTGTAAGTTAGAAAGAGCCAAACGAGATTTTTGGAACTATGTCTCGATTTTATCCACTACCAGCCTACTAGGACTGATGAAACTAAAAATAAGTGGAATGGTTTTGCCAAATATAGTCGACTCTCCGGGTTATATCTTTTTTAATACTAATAATACAAAACGCGTCATCAATATTCCTTTCACTTAGTACTTATTTTATTCCTTTGTCGTATAATTTTGATAGATTTCCGGTAACAAATAGTTTTAGTTACACAATAGCCTTATTTGGAGTCATTTTGATACACAACACTTGAAAGTAATGTTTTTAAAACAGCTACTAATTGTTTACTATAAAACATGCAGCCCATCATACACTGTTCTTTATTTGAAACAAGCTGATTCGACCTGTTTTTTTTAACTTAGACTCTTGTGTGCTTATGTCATTTGGTACTTTCCTTTGTTGTTTCATTCTTAAATATCTTACTACTACATTACATACATAACATGTTTAAAGTTTGATTCCATTTTGTGTTTCGTTTCAGTTACAGAGCTTGTACTTAGTAAAAGGTTGCTAGAAGCTCAGATGAATGAGTTGCGTAATAGTCGGGATGCAGAACTTGTGGAAGCCAAAGAACGTGTTCGAGCAGCGGAACGTGCAGTTATTGCTGCCACACGTAGCGTTAATTCATGCAAACCTGTGAGTGAAAAGGATAAACAAACTCACTCAAAAGAACCAGGGGTTCTTAGTCAACAGAATGTTATTTCAAATCCAACCCAATCTTTCATGCCTTTAGCTTTCAAGAAACCTCTACAGGTAAATCAGTAAAATTTTTAATTTTCTAATCATTTACTACTTTTCTCACTAAGTATTTTTACTGAAACGTTTTTGAATACAATGAATGGTAACATTGTACAACCTGTAGTATTTGTAACGCAAATAAATATGATTTTAGGTATAACTGTTAATTTGTGTAGTTTATGCTTAAGCATAAGTTATTTGATTATTATCCAGCGAACTAAGAACGCACTGGTTGACTAGTAGCATATCTGTCGTATGATGCGTGATTGTTAACTGGTGTAATTCCAAGTTTGTCGCCTGGTTCGTAGTAAATCACTTGTAATTATGTTCTTAAAACTTATGTAGTATTTTATGAAAAACGTAAATCAATTCGTTCGTAAATCTTTCATAACCAAGGGATAGTGGCATAGTGTATTTCACTTACATATTTTACTATCGTTCTGACGCTACTCAGTTTCACACTAAACTTTCTATTGAAACACGAGGTAACTACTTTATGTACTGACATTTTTGTACCAAATGCTTGTTTAGCATTAACTTGCATATTGATCTATGCCTTATTTTTGACAGAATCATTCTAGAAATTACACAACATTGACTGCCTTTTCTTATGACGATTTCGATTCATTGGATGAAGACACAGATGACGAAACTGACAAGCATTTATGCGAAATGACGGCTGCTGTCGATTTGGGAGAAAATAATATAGATCTCCCTGTAGGAAATAAAGAATCGAATGTAGAGGCCGAAAAAGAAATCTCCATCCCTGCAAATAATGATGCAAATATTCGACATAATCAAGAATGTCCTATGGAATCATCAATGGAAGATAATGTTTTCTCCAAAGATATGGATAATGTAACTTCACCTAGTTCGCCTTCTTTCGGTAAACTGTTCATTTTAATCATTCTTATTTTTATTATTTTACACATGATCCGAAATATGTTCTTTCATTAAAAGGCATTGAAAGGTTTAGTTGCTCATGGAAACTATCCCTTTATAAATTAGTATGACTAATCAAAAACAGTAGGTTTCATGTGTTTCGAAGTTAAATTATATTTTCGAGTTATCTGAAGTTTCTTATGAGGTCTCATGTTGTCGTATTTTATTTTACAAGTAATAAGAGCGATCATTTAAGCTTTAATTAAAATAACTTATTACAACAAATGAGATAAACTGTTTTGCTCCAAAGTTTGAAATTCCTGTAGTCTGAAAATTTGAACAGTAATCTTCTTAAGTCTGTTACTTACTTACTTACTTACTTACTTACTTACTTATTTACTTACTTACTTACTTACTTACTTACTTACTTACGCCTGTTATCCCCAATGCAGCATAGGCCGCCAACCAGCATTATCCAACCCACTCTATCCTGGGTCTTCCTTTCCAGTTCTATTCAATTTTTGTTCATTTTTCTCATATCTGTCTCCATTTCTCAACGTAATGTGTTCATTGGTCTTCCTTTCCTCCTTTGGCCTTGAGGATTCAAAGCGAGGGCTTGAGTTGTGACGCAGTTCGGTGCTTTCCTCAATGTGTATTCTATCCACTTCCAGCACTTCTTTCTGATTGCTTCCTCCACTGGGATCTGGTTTGTTCTCTCCCATAGTAGGTTGTTGCTGATAATGTCTGGCCAACTGATCCGAAGTATTTTACGTAGACAGCTATTAGTAAAGACTTGTATCTTCTGGATGATGGCTTTCTTATTTCTCCAGGTTTCCGCCTCATACAATAGAACTGTCTTGACATTTGTATTAAAAATTTTGTTGGCAGTTGACAATTGTTTTGAGTTCCAGATGTTCTTCAGTTGTTAAGTCTGTTAGCCTTCAGTCTAATAATCAAAGTGCTTTCTATTGAAAGTAGATATTTTTAAAATTTCATCTATCTTAAAATTTTTCAAATGATCTTGTGCCAAATTCATTCATGAAATTATGTGTCAAATATTTTTTATTTTAATAATATAATTATGGGTCAAATATTAAGTTTGTTTCATTTTACCTGTTAATCATTTATTCCATTACCTATAAACTTAATTAAACTACTAAGAATAAATCAATAGACTAATTAATTGAGTCTGTTTATTCAAGTTCTACAACTCATAATTATGAAAATTTTCATTAGTTCATTTTTTTTCTTCTTCTTCTTTAGACGTTGATTATTCTAAACAAAAAGGCTTTTAAGATAAAAATTTATATCAATCGACTAAAGTAGAATTTCAATATTATTATGCTTCAGTATTTTGTCTAGTCAATTAAACTGATTGTTTTCTTTTGTAGTTAAAAAGCTTATTATTATAATCTAATACATATTTCTTGCTGTTTTGTCCTTATCTACAGGGTATAATTCATTCTAAACTTTCAAGTTTATTAAATATCCTGAGCATTTCAATATCATATTTTGTCTAATAAATTTAACCTCTTTCTTTTTAATGATTTATTTAATCACCTGTGGAGATGATTTGATGATACTGTTAATTGATTATTTCTATTTTAAGCTGATGTAAAGCATAATACTACAGTAGCTTATTTAAAGGGAATAAATAGTACTGGAAGAAAAAATTAAACTTTATCATTAAAAAGACTGTTACAATGTATGATTTAGTAATGATTTGATAGAAAACCATTGTGTTTTATTGGTAAAAAGGGGCATCCATTCTTTGTGTTCTCCCAAATTTTAATCTCCTGAATTCGCCTCGTCTCTTTTTTTTCTCTTTCCAAATTTATTTCACTAAATTGTACTCCTTGAATAACATCTTCAAACTCTAGTTTTTCTGATTACTACTTATACTCTTGCCACTTCTACCACTACGGGATTTGAATCGAGAACTGGATCTCTGTGCTTATGTGGTATGGCAACTCAAAATGATGTACGTACGTGCGTCCGAAGTTCTACGTTGTTACTGACTGACTGTATAAAAACGGAAGTCAAACAGAAATTATACTAGTAGTTGTAAATAATTTCACGGTGTATGTCAAAATACATCTTTTAAGTAGTTTTTCAATTATCCATTTGTCTTATCAACATAATTTACTATATAAGTATACTTTACGTAACGAAATGTCTTAGAGATATGGGCTGTTGGAGATAAAAATTCAATCTGCTATTTTAGATAATCACTTTGTAAGCTACGATAGATTTTCTTTGATAAAACCAAACGATTATTATTTCATAGGTCGCATTGACCGAATTTGGGGCATGTTAAGAATAAAATGTCATATTAGCAGCTGAGTGTTATCATACACATTACAAGACCCGAAAGTTTATTGTACATTTCCCTAACTAGAACAAAGTAGCAGTTCACGGTAATAAATCATTCTGATATCAAAATGATTTCACTCGGTATTATATTCATTACCTGTACTTTCAAAAATTGGAATCAAATCTTAACTCCGTTATATGTTGAACCTACGGCTAAATATAATCTGGTTTGAATGCTTCAAAATCACGTTTCAAATTTCAGGAAATAAAGCACTATAAAATCCCCAACTTATGTTTCTGTTGTCAGAAAATAAAGAGGGAGGAGTATCAACGCATCATTCCTGATTAATTTGCTAGAAATCTAATTTTTATCACTTTAATAATGTTGTTTTAAGCCAGTTTACTTCGGTATTTTATTGCTTAGATTATAAATAATAAAGCATGTTAATAATTAAGTCTAACTTTAAGAGTAAACTGTATAATCCATCATTAAAATAATTGCGTTCTAATATGTTGAACACTTCATTGAAATAATTTGTTGCTTTAAATATAAGTCCTTCACATTTCAATATATTAATAGCTTCAAGATTGTTTAATGGAAAAAAGAATGCTGTCTGCTATCTTTCATTGGTAATATAACATTTTCACATTTTGCATGTATGACATTCATGTACTTACTCTAGGTAATTTTATTGGTTTTCATAATCTGTTAATGGATGTTATTGGTCAGTATGTATTGATCCGATTCTATTAGAATAAGGTATTATCCACTTAATCGTGACATTTTAAAAACCGGAATATATTGTTATTTCCGATTGACATACTTAATAGTCTGTTGCATCAAGCGTAAGTACCAAACCAAACTCTTTTATAGTTACTGTTATTCCTGTAGGTTTTTTGTTAGAATGTTCGATATTCTCTAAACAGTCGCATCGTCTTACTATAAATCATAAAATCAATTTTGTTTTAATGAATTGCCTTTGGTGTATATAACACTATCTAACTGTCAGTGTTTATTTAGCATTTTTTCATGTTACAGTGTATAATATGAAACTGTAAAGATTTAATTGATAGTATCAATACTAAGGTTTAACTTGATAATTTAATAGAAAGTTATTAATAAAATAATTATATATTTGTAATACCTAAATAAGTGGAAGATTGGATTTTCAGTGTTTCGTTACTTAGCATAAGCCACTTCTACAGGGTACCATGAATCACTTTGAAGTCTAGTCATATAACAAATCTACGGGCTATTCATGAAAAATGAAGTTTTTTTAACTAGTTTAAATAGAATTGATCGATCAATAAGTAGTGACTGATACCATGTTTGTTAACTCTTTTAGAACCAATCGAATTCTGTCATTCATTTTGCAAGAATACTGGTACACTTTGCTGACTATTGCCAAGTATAAAAAAATGGGTCCAGAGTTTCTTATCGCCTACCTTCAGTCACTTAACATCTTAATTTAGTGGTGTAAATGCAGAAAATTACAGATGATATTTTGTGCTAATTCAAAATATGGCTGTTTTCGGCTTTTAGGCGCGTGCACAAACAAATTGTGTAATAAAATTTATGAAAATAATGTTTGGAGGTTTTACGAAACTAAACCCTCACATTATGAAAACTATTAATAATTTCATCGCATATGTATAGAGCTTAGGGTTTTCTGTGGTATGGCTAGTCGGTGAATACTCGAGAAACAGAATTCACAACAGTTTTCGTTGTTATTTAAAACAATTTTCATTTGTATTATTTAATACACCAGTTTGTTTGTTCTGAGCCCTTTTTTTCCTGGTCTGTCAACGTTACCAAGTACAACAGACATTGAAATTACTAAACGTTATTCATGCAACAAACTGACAACAATTTGTCTCTAATTACATCCTTATAACTATCAGACTGAAGGAAGGCAGGTGTTATTTTTGACCTTATATTCTAACATATTTTTGTTATGGATACCAATCTTTTCATTTGCCTTTTGTCATTATATCGGTTTACCAACATGATATATATTTAAGGCATATGATTAAGTTTTAGTTGCGGGTCCAAACTCACTCCACATACTTTAAGCAGAAAATACTTGATTGTTGATTTACAGTATTATATTCACCCAAATAATTCATAATATATGTGCTTTAAGAGGAGCTACTGTAGCGTTATCATCACAGTTAGTTTAAGTGTTTTATTTTAAATTGAAATTATTCAAGTTTATTTGATAGTTATTGAAGCATTTACTTGCAATATACTGTTGTGCGCTCGTGCTTTTCTCTTTGATGTTCGCAGAGCATTTACTTCACCAATTTTAATCAGATATAAATATCATTTAAGTTCACTGTAATTAGTTTGTAATTAAGGCGTATTGTACGACTACTATTAGTAATAGTAGTGATAATGATGGCAATAATAACAATAATAATAGTCGCTATAAACTTTTTTATATAAAGTTTATTATTACTTTATTATTTAGTCAATTTGTGTTGGCTGTTTGAATACCGACACTAATTCAGTGCACCGAAAGAAATGTATACGATGTATTCAATCATATTTCTACCCAAAAAATTCAATATTATTATCAGTACTATCATCCTTTGAATTATTTAATGTTTTTTTTTCATTTTTTTGGTCTTTTAAAATACAAACTAATCGCCTTAACAATTTATACACCCATTCTGTTTGTTTTAATGATCACATATAAATGACTTTAAACTTACTTGGTTGCAGTAATTAAACTTTACGCAATAGATAGATTTTAATTAATTTAATTCATACTGTAATGTTTAATTTTTTCAAGTTAGATATTTCTAAATAATTTGCTTTTAATGATTTTGTTTTTTTTCAGTGGGAGAAGTATTGGATTCAGTGTCTCCAGCACTATCTAGTACACCTAGAAAATCATTGCCAAATGAAACTGTCGTTACTCCATTCAGTTGTGCTAATCTATCCGATTTAACAAATGATGTTTTAGGATGGAATAGTGATTTGAAAGCCACACCATACATAAAACAAGAAGAAAAAGAAGTAAATGAAGTCGTATCAAAAGTGGATTATTTAAGATTATTAGATGAGATGGAGGAACTTCGTCAAGAACTAGATTTACTACGTCAAAATGCTCAACTTTCACAATTATCACATAGTAATATTCCAAAAGCAGTTATAAACAATAGCACGCATTTAACTAGGTAAGATTGTTTATTATTTACTTATCATGTTAAAACTGTACATTTCTTAAATCTTTTGTTAAGCGAAGATTTGTGTACTTGGCTATGAAACACAATCTAACTGTAAGGGTTAGTTAAATTATCCCGTTTCCCAAACAAAAGCAGGTATAGCGGGGTTTGAACCTACGGCTGTAGTTGTAAGTTAAGCGGACTATATTAAAACACTACTCTACTAATGAAATCGAAGATGGCTTTGGTTGAATTTAATTTAATTAAAATTAATTTTTCATCAGGGATCTCGATTTCATATGGTAAAAGGTGCCTCAGTAGACGCAGAAAAGCCACATTAAAAAGACCCATAAGAATTGAATTGAGTAGTGGGATAACCAAAAGTAGGTTCCAGGAACAACCGAGGTCACACTTAGGTAGTCTTAAAAACGAGGCTGACCCAGATGTTGCTTGGAAAGATATATAAGTAGCTGTGGGAACAGCAGTGACATCTGCTAGTGATTTAAACCAGAGTGACAAAAAACCAATGGATTTCTTCTAAATTTATTGCACTGATGGATTCTCGTAAACTCATCCCATCAGGTTCTGAACACGATGAAGAGCGTAAACAAATCAGATCTAGGTTAAGCAAAAGTCTAAGGAACGACCGTAAGCAGTAGTGGGCAACGAAAGCAAAAGAGATGAAAAAGGCGGCGACTATAGGGAACACAAGACAGCTTTACAGACTAATAAAAGAAACTGGAATTAATAAGTCAAGTGTGAGTGCGACAGTCTCAGAAAAAGACGACACTCTTACCTGCTCTCAGTCCAGACGTTTAGAACAATGAGCAGAACATTTTAAGGAGCAGTTCAGCTGGCCTTGAGCTACTCTACGACTATCCACCGTTCCCAAACATTTGAGTAGGTCCCCCAACTCTAGTCGAAGTTCGAAATGCTATAGTTAATTTGAAACGAGGAAAGACGGCTGGTCCAAATGGACTGGCTCCAGAAGCCTTTAAGTACGGTGGTTCAATTTAACGATTAGGTTGACTAATTTTTTAGCTAAGATCTGGAAGTTGGACGTAATCCCATCTGACTGGCCACAATCACTGATCGTCCCAATATATAAGAGAGGGTCAAAATCATCCTGTGACAACCATAGGGGATTAGTTTAACTAATATAGTATCTAAAATACTAGCCTCAATAATTGTCGGACGCCTAACTAAGACTAGTGAACTGCAAACACGAGAGAATCAAGCTGGCTTCAGACCTGGTCGTGGCTGCATCGACCACATATTCACCATTCGTCAGGTTCTACAACACAGACATACTTATCGGCGTCCGACAATGGTGGTCTTTCTTAACTTAAAAGCAGCACTTGACTCTGTAGACTGTGAGGTTCTGTGGCAGTGTCTGTCATTGAAAGGCGTACCTCAAAGTACATAAATCTTGTGAAGGCTCTTTACTCGAACACTACTAGTCGAGTGAGAGCTTATGGCGAACTGTCATCTGTTTTTGCAACCTCAAGTGGTGTCCGCCAAGGCTGTTTGGTTTGGCCACCCCTAACTTTCTTCCAACCGCCTTAACACTAATCAGCACTGCGTGTCATGGTAATCGGTGTTCGGGCATACGTAACACGTGGCTCAACCATCTCAGTCGATGAAGATTAACAACCTCATCAACTGATTTACCATCATTCCCTAATACCCTGAATCTAACCTCACTATTACTTACCCGATGATCCCAGCAGATGCGAGCAATATTTCTAAGATATCTGTGATCAAATACTAGTAAATTGCGAATATCTTATACTCTTAATGGCCACGTTTCGCAGCCGTAAAGTAAAACAGAACGAACTGCTGGACAGTACACCCGTCCGCTAATCGATTGACGGATATCTCGCTTTAGCCATAGGTGGTGACATAAGTTGGCAAAAACCAAACGAGCTTTCTGAATCTGTGCAGAGATTTCTTCGGACACCAACCCATTAGGGTTGATTAGACTTCCGAGATAAGTGAAGTTGTCGACGCGTTTGACTACTTCACTCCCTATCTTTAGTTCAGGTGTTGACGCAGACTAGTTCTGAAACAGCGATTTGCTCTTAGAAAGGGAGAAATGCATTCCAAACATCGTGGCATTGTTGCTCAATGCTACCAAAACACTCCGCATCTTATCAGCGTCTTCACTAAACAGAACTGTCATATGCATATTCTAAGTCGATAAGTGGACCTTCGGGAAGGAGATCAATTCGTGAAAATGCAGTCGACGAGAACGTCATTTTCAGTAGTATATCTATGATGAAATTAAACAGAAACGGAAATAGTGGACAACCTTGACGGACACAATTTTAGGTTGCAAAATCAGATGACAGTTCGCCATATTTATTTATTTATTTGAACATAAATACTGGTACAAAGGGGCACCGAATACATATGCGTCACCCAAGTCACTTGGTTTTTGTGTGTGCTGTGGGCTGCACGGGTACCCAGTCCTAGGCAGGTGGTTTTCTTAGGGGGACATACCCAGAAGCTTCAACTTAAAGGTTTGATCCACAAAGCAGTGGAGCAACGCCAGTGACTCAAAGCTGAGTATATAAATCTGCATTTGGGTAAGTAAATTGAAATTAATATTGCGACTAACAATCATTAAAATAAACGATTATTACAATAAAAAAGCTACTGCACAAAGTGAAAGCAATGAAAGGCTACAAATTTTCAGTTTTGTTCAGTCTGATATTCCCACTCAGACTTTTTGACTTGTTATTTTAGACTAATACAATGAGGTGTTGTTATTTTTTACATCATATACAATGTATAATTTGCATAATCGGACTGTTCATTATTTTGTATTGTTTAAGTCAAACAATCAATATACGTAGTGATTAATGGAAAATGTATAAATTATCAGATTTTTTGACATAAAGTTTTGAAAAACGTCTTCTTGTTTATTAAAGTGTTCTTTCATATTTTTTAAGTTTTAACTATTAAAGTACGGGTAATTTGACGAATTGAATTTCCACTACACGGGTATGGTTTTAACTGTAGATAGATTAATTGTATTTCTTTTTTTTACTTTGCAACTGTGTAGTCTATTTCTTTTATTTCAGCAAATAGACAAACTAAACGTTTGCTTCTTTTCATTGGAATTTATTTTATAGTTAGAAGTATTGTTATGGTGTTCTGACAAAAACAAATTTACTCTCTCTCGCTTTGTTTATGTATATATATATATATATAAGCTGTTTCCTTTCTCTTTTTTCAGTGATAACAAGCTTTACAAACCCGGTTTAACAACTCAATTGTTGGAGTTAAAAGATGAGGTCAGTTTATTTATAAATTTAAAACCGTATATTTTGTTCATTGGTTTTTTATCTTTATTTACGTATGAAACTCACGGGAAAGATTGATAACTGAGTTAGAGGCTTTTGGTATAATTTTATGTTTTGTAAGCTGGATGATTCGATTACAAGACTTTATTATTGTTTATGCAGGCTCAGATAGGGTTTTTAAAACGACTATTAATAATCCATTATTATTTACCTATGCTTAAACACCGCCTACCACAACATGCAATATTAGCTGGCTTTGAAATAGGTTGTAAGGAAGTTGGTGGCTGGATTATTAGTTCATGAACTCGTGGACTGTTGGTGTGATTAATGTTGTTGAGTGCTGACTTCCTACTTGAGGTCCACGTAAAAAATAATTACTGTCAGAGTACCTCAATTGACCGCTCAATATGATATACAGTGGTACAGAATTATTCATTTCTTCTGTACTTCTTAGTCTTAAGTTTGACATTATTTATTTAATCCAGTTTCAGACGATCATCGATATTTTTGTTTAGACTTTTGCTTTCCATCTTAATTTCCTGTCACTGCTCTGATAAAAAAAGTGACTTTTTTTTTACCGTTTCCTATATTATTTATAACAAACTCATCAAATAAAAGTGATTTTTGCATTGTTCACATTGGGACTTCCTTTTTTTCAGTTGGTTTCAACTTCTAATGAACCTTCTTCACAAAAACCAAGTAGTTTACTACCAACATTACCTCCAGGATCAACTCGGTTATATGATTGGTCTTTAAATAAGAGTGATTTACAACTAGAAAATGAAATGAGTGCAAATAACTCCAGTGACTCTGAAACTAGTACTGAAAAACCTACTCCTGTTAAAACATCTTTATCTCCTGTAAGTTAAAATTTCTGCCTATACTTTTTTAAGACTGCATTTTCTTTATTGTACTATAATCAGACATTGCTTACATTCTGTTCTTTTCAATAATAAGACCTTAATCGTTTTGTGAACTATCACCGGTTTTATTATGTCTGGTGGTAGCTTTTAAAGTATTGTTGTGGTCGGAGATTTGTTGGATATCTCAGTGACAACGTTTCATTTACATAAGCATTCAAAATTTCGTAAACTCTCCCAGTTTTCTTCACAATTTTGTTGAACTTTGAATTATCCTTTCATGAATTTTCTGTTTTAATCGCTAGTAACCTAATTAGGATGTAGTTTATTAGTTTTCAGACCCGACTCATCCAAAATCACACTCATATTAATCATAGTAGGATAAAAATCGCAGGACGAATAACTAAATAAAATGAAAATGCCTTTTTCCTTTTCTAAAAATATGTGTATGTTTAATGACCCTTGAAGAATTTTAATTTTGAGCAAAACAAATCTGAAAATAAGAGCTGTCTGATAACGAAGGATTTACAGTGATCGCCTTATTTAGGTTGTTATAGCTGTTAGACGTCTTTCTGCATATTCAAATCCTCATCTTGCTCAAAATCGTTAGTTATTTCTCCATTCTCTATCAGTGCTTCAGTAGTTAATATTGTACGTGTTAAAAAACAATCACTAAAGTAAAATGACCACATTTGTTTTTATCTTAGTGGGTCCTTCGACGGATTTCGTGTATATGAGCAACCTTATAATTACTGACTACATCACTGTCTATATATATATATATATATATATATATATATATATATATATATATATATATATATATATATTCCATCATTTTCTATATCAATTTAACATTTACGTTCCCAGTCTTGAACCCCCATCAAATAAAGAAACGTCAAACCTTGAAATGTTGTTTAAAGGTTATATCAAAAATGTGAACTGAATGTAATTTTATTCTTCACTGTTGAGTTATCCTAGCAACGCAAGCAGGATTTCTTATAACATTCACTAACCAAGTTGATGGTTAAGCTACTAAATGTTATCAAATAACAAAAATGTTGTGATCAGTTTTCTATCGAAAAAGGTGTTATTTAGCTATTTATCTATTTATGTAGGAATTCGACGCTTTGAGTTAGTGGTTTTGGCATTCGACGTTCAGAACATTTTTCGCAGGTTCTATGTTACGTATTATTGACTGACTTGGCTTCCAAACAATGTATCACAGGTTCGAACTCCATTATACCTATTTAGGTGTAGTCAGCCAGCTGATATCACTAGTCCTTACATTAGTGGTTTGGCTGGAAACCAAATACATCAATATGTACCTGGTCTTGAGTTAAATCATTTTTATCACTTTTTTGTTTGCCCTTTGTTAATTTTTTTATTTTCGTTTGACTATTGTAATTTTTATGAGTAACAAAGATGTTTTTTAATCTATTTCTGGGATTTTACTTTTCTACAAACTGTAGTGTGAACATTGTATAGAGCTTCAAGCAAAAATTATGGCTTATGAAGCTATACATGCAGCACAAGAAGATTTCGTGAGTTTTTTGTTATGTTTACCTGGTTTATAAACAACTTAGTATGTATTTCTTACTTTCAACTGGTTCATTATTCATTGTTGTACATTTTGGTAAACATTTAGATCACAAAAATATATTTTGAATTCGGTAATAGGTCTCACCTTTTTTAAACATAAACATAAAGAATTACAAAAAAACATTTTATTGTTTTGTATGGTTAGACACTCAAATAAATGAGAAAGAAAAATGAGAGACAAATCTGAAGTCAATTATATCTTTGTTTGCAGTACTTATTTTACATTTCACAGCTTTTAGTCATTTGATGCGTCAGTTGTTAGTTACGTAATCAAGGGATAGTCTAATACTGTAATGCTTCATCTTCAGTAAACACAACACTTCTGTTGAAATATCGAAGTAATTATGGCTTAAATGATCATAAATTAGTTCGAGAAGAGCCAATGAGATCAGAAGACAAAATATGAGATAATGCTATGATATGCAGAGGATGAAGAATAGGTTTGTTTGCTCTACTGCAACCGAACTTATTTACCTAAGCCCTATGTTCAAACTAAGATTGGTACTCACTACGTTATGTTTAATAGTTATTTGCTGAAACCGTCAATTCGCAGGTAGACATGCTATCTGACCATTTGTAATTTTCCCCAATAACTATTCTCATTTATTTATATTAAATGAATATAGGTAATGTATTAATAGTTTTATTTATTTTATAGTGTACAGAAAAAATTATTGAACAATCAATATTGAATACAGAAGCTGGTACGAAATATACACTTTTTTTGTGTGTGGATATTTCTATTTCTTGTATAATATCTACTTGTTGTACTCATGCATTTGTATCAATCTTTAGCAGCAATGTTATAATCCACTTGTTTCAACTACTCTATAATATTCTTTATACTATTTTAAATACTTGGTGTTTTAAGTTTTCTAGCACTTATAAAGATAATTTTAAACATTTAAGCAAGTAACACAGGTTTAGAAACATATATGTATATGTATTACGATCTATCAGAAGTTTAACAAAATCAATACGGTACAAAGTATTATTTTTTAATCATTAAAATAGATAAAAAATTTTTATTATTCGTTAACTGACAAAACTCTTGATAGTAAGATTTTATCATAAGATTGACTCTGACTTAATAATGACATCTAGAGTTGTTTGTCTCTGATGAGATAATACATAGTCTTTGCTGTATAAGGCTTTTAAAAGGATACCACAATATTCGTTTATTTAATTGTCTCCTTAATATCATCCCTTCATATTTATTATTATTATTATTACTCAATTACTGTCAAACTATTCGTTCTAATCTTGACGAATATTCGTATATATTATATTATTATTTTATTATTATTATTATAGCTATTACTACAATTTTATTCGTGCTGGGTTGTTTGTATTTTTAGGTACACAATGCGATGAGACCCTACAAGAAGCTGATAATACAACTGAAAATTACAAGTTATTGCATATACCAAATAATGACATATTTACACAGACAGATCCTGAGGTATGCCTTGCTCTACTTATCCAATATTTCTTATATTGACAAAAATTAAAGAACTTTTGAATAGAAGGTGAAGTTTTTAGATTTGGTTGATTTTGTTTTTATTTATATTTTATCAAACGTGTTTAAAATATCCATATGTAGTTATCTGATCAGGTCAAACCTCTAATCTTCGGGTGTCAAATGCGACTGAGATGAGGATTGAATTAAGATCAATTTTTAACGAAGAGTAAAATTTTCCTTACCTTTTTGATTATCTTATTGAATTAAAAACTTCTGGACGCTATAGTAGATTCTTTGGATTAGAATTTTGATTCATATCTAGCTTCTGGTTACATGTTATATTAAATCTCACTACAATGTCACGATTGCATCATCAGACAATATACAGGAATTTTATATATAACGTGATAGTATTATTTGATCATTTGTTTCTCTCATCCCACTCAAATGCACATATATTCAAACCATCAAAATGCTGTTTAGTTAAACTTAAATGTATTAGTTATTTTATAGCCAAGCACTGGATAACAACTTTCAACTCTATGCCTTTGATTTTAGTAAGTAGTTTCTGTAGCACTCTCATATCTTGTGTGGCTCATAATTATACTTAACCAACCATCGTAATGTTGTTTGGTAGTACTACTATCAAACGATTATTTGGTCAACTGAAAAACTTTTGTTTCAGAAAATTTTTATCTTTTCATTATTAAGAAAGATATGATAGTGTTTTTTATTATAGTCTTTCATTCACTTTCCATGATTCGTATAAATCATTATTTCAACTTTCCAATCTTTTTCTCGATCGTCCTGCAAGAAAAGCTCACTTGTATTTTAGTTTAATTGATTAACGATTATAGTCATCTTGCCCATTATTTCAGTTGGTTATTCTCCTTGTTCCTTTAAATTATGATGTAAATATCATTCAAGGTCATTTGTTGTTTTGCAAGAAAGTAAGAGATAATGTAGTAAGGTAGTTTACACAATGTATATACATATGTATCAGTCCATATTTATTTATAAGTCAGTATCTCTCCATGATGATTATCTGCCGGAAATCTCACTTTCTTCTTTGTACAATAATTAGTTTATAGTTTATGGGCTAAATAAATAGCTTGAATTTTTTAAAATTATTTAATAACTCACTTACCAGGTACAATTTCGTGTACTTGATTTCAAATCATTTTACAATTTATTGATCACTGGTTTGTGATGTGTTTCAGGTTTTTCTTAGTGCAGATCGGATACTACCGACTAAGTTGCAATCTGATCGCTAGTCTATGTGACTTGACATCGCGTGCACTGTGCTGAGATGTAATGTGGTGGCTGGAAGTAGTTGACAGGAATCTCTGAACTTAGGTTTCGTGCTATTTGAACGATAACAATTCTATGCATTACTTTTCACATAAAGTTCCTTCTGATGAATCACTAAAAATAAATAATCAATTTTTCTTCGTCAAATTTAATGTTGCTGGGTTTTCGGTTGTTTTGTATTTTACCTGAGCTCCTTTTTCAAAAGGACGCAACTTTTAGCTTATACGTACATATATGCGTCATCTTAAAGTTGCCACACCCTTAAATTGTCCCACTTTATAAATTGACCTGACCAGTGCATAATCATCCATGAGTAAATTTAAGTTATAGTATGTTGTGAATTAAATTTACCAAATAATTAGTCTTTATGTAAATAAATATAGTTAAATAAAGCGCACTTTTCAGTAATTTGTCTTATTAATGGACACTGAAAAAAATGAATCGATAAAACTGGTCGCCATCACAGTGTAGATGACATGATTTTGGTTAATAGTACCGATACTAATAGTATGACCATAAACTAATCGATTATTATAGGGTAGTTTTACTTCTGAAAAGGATTTTTTTTCATTCTACCCCATTCATGATGTAGGTTGAATTAGATTTGATGGTTTTTAAATTGGAAAATTAATATTATTTATCATTATTTATCATTGTATTAGTCAATACTACTTATTACTTTCACTATTTATATACGTCACACAACATTGATATAATTATCCAGTTTTTCAGTTGATCACCTTACTAAATCAAGTACTCTCACGTTTATTTTATTTTGAACATATTAACATTGCATAAGTTTAAAAGTGTTTATTCACTTGCGCTAGTTTGATCCTATATTATTTGTGATGTAATGAAATTGTCAATAGGCTGAACTTTGTAAGTTGTTAATATTTTCCAAAACTTATATTTGTGCAGGTAATGAAAGTTACTGAATCTTACGATTAGTTCCTGAATGTTTATCCAAGCAGTACTTATATATGATTTATAATAAGGGTTAAAATGATCTTTTTGTCGATATTCAAGACTGCATTTCGATCAGTCTTTGTTTGTACATGCGTTTCTTGTGCAGATAACTTTGATATTACTATTTTGTCACAAGTATTTCGGAATGGATTATTTGTAGTTAGAAGTAGGATCCAAGATACACGACTCGTCCTATTTGAAGCTCATGGGCTAGGTGTATCCTACATGCCAGTGTTGAGCAGTTTATTGGCCCTCTAGACTATGGGTTAACGTCTTGCACTTTGCAGCAAATAGTACTGGGTTTGAGTTACAGTGTGAACATCAACACTACGGTCCAAGTACATCCATCTTGCAAGTCCCGAATAGGACAAAACGCGCGTCCTGGACTCCACCACTAGCCAAGGTCCATCCTTTTTCTATGAATAGTATCTAGTTTATGTTCGTAATGTCATACAATATATAAGTACTTCATTTTATACTAATGTTCAAACGGAATTTGGTGTAGTAGTTTTCAATTCTGCCGACTTTACTAAATATTCCCCCCACTTTAGTCATACGTTTTTTCTTGCTTGTCAGCTATGTACAGAGATATTAGTGTCATGCGTTTTTATCTTTAATATACTGTCGTATTTGTTTTTGATCATGATTGATAAGTTTATATTTATTGATACTAATTTTTTCTCAGGTTAAAAATGTATTATCACATTCTGTCTATTTACAAACTGATCCCAATCTAACAGTGAATGGTGATGATCAAATTAAAAAGTAAGTGAGAATAATATTGATATCTGTTATTCCTCTTAAATTGAAATGTATTCTTTATAGTTAGTTTTCAATACTATATGTTTTAATATACCTTGAGTCTTTTATTTGATTATTTTCTATTTGTTGATTTGTTCTCACTTTACTGATGTTGTAGCACGACAACTTTAGATAGTCCAATCAGAAATATATTTCGATAAACTTCATTTTCTCATCTTATTTGCCAAATCTATCAAAAAAAACTAACCTGGTTGAAAGGAGTTTTATAGAGATTGGTTTAAATTGTAGTTTATACTCACCGTAAATTAATCTTGGTTGAGGTACCATAAGGAACCGGAGAATGCCAGATAGCCGTTCCGTTCTAACACAGGATCGAACGTCAGATATCCAGGTCTTGCGACAAACGCTTACTCATTGGAACCAGAGCCGAAGTCGAGTGGTAAAATCTCCACTTCAATTAATTAGTAACATTGTTCGATGATAATTTACTGCCGCTGGTGATAATTACGCTTCCTGTTTTACATTTAAGCACATGTGTATCAGGTTGGGTTCCATGCTCTTCATTCCTTTGCAATATGTTCTGTTCCTAAGTATGTTCAAGGTCTTTGAAACAATTTGATACTTTTTGACTGTTTTGCATAAAACAAATAATTAAATGAGAATCATTTTTATGTAGGAAGATAAGTTGAATTGTTACCTAAATAGCTAGTTTGATGTTTTAAAATTTTAAATGTATATATCTACACTAAAGTATGCAGTTCATCGAGGTAATGTTTTCTTGTCAACTACTGTTGTTATAAAAATTGAAAGGTATATTTCAAAATATACGATGTAGTTTTCTTAACTGGAGACATTTACTAGAAATTGAGATAAGCTTTGTAACGAATATTAAAGTTACTATCCATGATAATCTTCAGCACATAGTACTCTTTATTTCATTCCAGTTAGTTTTAGATTTGACAATCTCTAAACTATTGTGTACATAGTTTGCATAGCAGTTAAATTCCTATTATCTATGTAAGCATTGTAATTATTGTTTGATATAGAAAAATTTATCGTGTTATTTTCGTGACCTTATGTATTATTGATAAGAGTTAAGTCAGCTGTGAAAATATTTTCTCAACGGTAAAAACTGTTTGCTTAAGTATTTAACTATAACCTTCTTCTGTTAGCTTCTTTCTTAAATAAAAACTATCTGATATATTTTTCATTTGAATCATAATTTGTTTAATTCAGTGTTAACATTTCATTGAGTAGTATACTACAAATAGGCTTTCCATCTTATTTTTAGAGATTTCATGGACTTACTCAAATTCATTGTAGTATATCTCTAATGAAAGTCTCCAAAATTATGTTTGTATAACATTTCTGTTTGTCACTTCGTTTATATTGTGCATTATTATGCTAAGTTAATAGTATATAGTGCAATTGTTTATGCTTGAAATGTTTAGACTCCTATTCTGTTGGTCTCAGGTTGAATAATAGCAATATTTTCCGGTAGAACAGTTTATGTCAGCCTTTTTTAATCGAATGATTAAGCGTTACAATTGTTTGTGGGCTAATATTGAATTAATTTAATGTTAAGCTAGTTAGAAGTTAGTCGGTCGAATAAAAAATTTCCTCAAAATAGAATATCATTAGTAACGGTTTCATCGAAACTCTAGTTTGGTTTTTACTTTTTATTGTTAAGAATTGACCATTTTCTTTATTGGATGTCTCATCAACCCTAATAAGTTGGTAAGTAATGTAATCTCCACACTGATTTAGACAACATACTTGTTCCGTCTTTGGCATTTACACTAAATGTTCATAATGCTGATGACTTTCATCTCGTGCTCTTATCTGAATTGATCAAACCATCAATTAGTGGTCTTGAGTGCTGTTGGAGGTATGAGGGCGGTTATCATTTCCCGGTTGCCCACACTGTGGAAGGGTTCTTCTGGAGGTACCTGAAAAGGAGATTGGATTAGAGGTGGTCTTAGTGACCTGAGAGCGTGACCGCAGTGCCCAAGGGAAAACTGTTTGAGGTCGGTCACACACGACATTTTTATGGGTAATTTTTGTGTTAGCTCCGTACTTGTTGAGACCTTACCGCAGGAGACGGATATCCGTGGGATAAGGCGAGGTGTGACATTTTTAGGGTCGACCTTTTCTAACCCCACCCCTCCTTGTGGGAAGTCAGCATCGCCGTCATGCTGGTTGTCCGAAGGAAACACCTTACTGCTGTCACACCTCTGTACAGTCAGCAGTACGACATTTCCTTCGGACCTTGGGTTTGTTGCCTTTAGTCTTACCGCTCTTCAATCGACCTGTCTGACATGGTAGGACCTTGAGGAACGGTTGTTCCAGCCAGTATAACTCGGTTGCTTCATCACGATAGGCAAGCCCGACTACCACGTCAAGGTAGCAACAACGGTCGGGGCCATCAATTACTGTCATTTACAAAAATTTTTAGTCTCTGTGTATCATACAATTTTTTTCTCACATAATTCACTTGTTTTCTATGCAAAATTAAGAAAAAAGAAAAAGAAAGAAAGCGAACTACCAAATATTTCATCAATCACCGTCTCTCATACTCTACACATATATCCTTAAAAAAGATTCTCTTCATAGATCCTACTCAACACAAATAATATCTTATAATATACAGGATACTAATAGAGAATTTTCATTTCTTTTTTCATCATATATTTTACATTTATCATTTAATTGATGCTACTTAGTAATATCTTATTGACTAATGTAAATTCTTTAGTTTATATTTTAAATAAAATTTAGTAACATACTATAAACGATTATAATTGTTTTTTTTTCATTTTATCTTTAACTCATTAGTCACTAACACAATTCAATTTTGTTTTTCGTTCCTTCTATGAATTTTGTTATTGAACAGAAAATATCTTTCACATTCAATGAATTTATTTATTTAATTTTTCATTTCAAAATAGTTTTATTTTTATTTTTTTGATAAAAAAAAATCAATAATCCCTCGTTTTTTCTCTTTATTTGTGATTGTTACCTGTTTTTTTTCTCTCCTTCATTTTTCATGTTTTCTAGTTATACAGTTTGTCTAGAATTTTATCATAAAATGATTTTGTCCATAATTGATGTCAGTACAACATTGAAACATGAGTTAACTGCACGTATCAATGATCAATATTCATGGATGAATAATGATTTATCATTGGATTGTGATATGAAAAATAATGAACAAGAGAGAAAGAATGAATTAAAAGGTATAGATTGATAGTTCGTTAATTTATGTTATGCAATTTTGTGTTTTTATTGTATTATTAATTAAAGTAATTTTTATTTATATCGACATGAGACTATAATGATATATTGTGCTTGTTAACATTCAGCATAAAATCGTCAGTCAGTTGTGAGCGACGTCGTAAAATTTCGTATATAAGTATGTTAGCGCTATTTAATTCATGTCAGTATATCAGTATATCAAGATGAAATGATCAAAATCTATACCAAAGTAGTAGAAATACTAATAATACTGGTGATGATAAAAAATGACCAGATATAGAGAATATGATTAAGGAAGAATGAATGGATTTCACGGAATAAAAGGTAAAAGATAATTCTAAAAAGTCAAGATCTTCAAGAATTCAAAGATTAAAATCATCTGACCGTTTCAATCGATTTTAAATCAATGTCCTCAATCATTTCTTACGGTAATCGCTTGAACCTAATATTCACTTTTATGTTAGCTATTATGAAAACATAAAATTTCTTAATATAAAATCCAAAATTTTCTCACAATTATTATAAATATAATCTAAAAATTGTCTTTTCTATTGTTCACTTTCTTTAATCTATTAAAATAATTCCATGTTATGGATTGTTCACATTATGACGTGTGATTGACAATTGAAGTAGTAATGAAATTCAGTTTATATTCAGTATGTGTTTACACACGCGAATAAAATGGAATAACACTTAATTTGTTATATTAAACTACTACCTTGTATTCAATGTTATTATTCTTTCTAGATGAAGTGTCGTTCTTTGAATTAGATGGTTTAGTCGTGAAGCATTCATTGCCTTTTGGACAATATCAGCCATTCTATGTTCATTTACTGATGAGTGTATTATTATTATTATTCACATTTACATCTGATCGACATTTCTTTCCAAGTTTAATTCGTAAAAATAGCATTGGAAAATATCTCCTACTTTCACTATCGACAAGTAGTATGCGTCACTAATGATCACTTACGTTATATTTATTTTATAAATATGTTCGGAAAACTTTATGAGAAAAGCTTTTGCCTGGAAGTATCCAGGTGGTTCTGTAGTGAATTATCCAGTAGCTTGATTTGGTAACGATGTAAGGTGAATTCTTAGTTGATTTTCCAGTTAAATATACATTGTGCAGTAGCTTCGTTGAGAAATGTTTCTACATCTATTATGTAAACTGTTTCCTTTTCTGTTCTACGTATTCTAAATTTACTTAATTCGTTAAAAGATCATAGTAACAATAATGTTGCTATTTTTAGCGTTTGTAATCATTTCGTTCGGTGGCATTAAGATTTTCATCCACTGATTTTCAGTTAGTATATAGCTCATAAGTTGTTAATAGTGGTAAACTCATATATTACATGTTCAAACACTGAGCAATTGAGTTTTAAATGATCTAACCTGCTTCATTTACATTGAACCCTCATCATTGTGTTACACTTGGATACTTCCCTTTGTGCTCTCATATGTTTCATTCTAATTTATTTATTCTCTTCCCCGTTTCTGCCTTGATTCTGTTTCGATCTAGAATATTATGCTTGCTTTTGCTTATAGATAATTAAATGAAAATGTTTTTCTCTATTCCTAAATACTATCATACATTTACGTTTTATTGTGTTTCTTAGTCATTCTTTGTTTGTAAGAGTAGGATAAACTTTTATCATGAAGTGACTTATTTCTTAGAATTCATTCATCATATTCTCCTCTACTTTCTCTTTAGTTCAACTTAATGATTACTTGAATGAATGTGATCATTTACTGGTTACCAATGTTATATGCGATACAAAATATTTAGATCATTTCCGAACAGATTGCAAGTTTTTAACGTGTAGGTTGATTTTAATATTTTAATCAGTAGAAATTTTCTTTAGACGATTTATTATTATTTTTAATATAAAAGAATGATATCAGATTGATGGATAACCAAATGTAATTGTTCAGTACTTGTTGTGATATTTTGTGTTTAAATAGGGGATAGGGAATAATGAGTATTTTAATTGTACTTTTGTTGGTTTAAATTGGTGTTGTAGTGCAAAACTTTAGTTTTTATTTTGGTCGAATAAATTCTTATCAGTTGAATTTATGAGTCGATTTAAACTAGACCACCATTAAAAACCTAGAAACACTGGAGGGCTGTTTCGTCCTAGTATAGGACTCTTCAATAGTGCGCATCCTGCATGCAGGAGTCATTTAATATTATTGCAATCTCCACAAAGCTCCATTTTTATAATAATCATGTGCTCACTAGTGACTAGCATCAACATGTATTTCCTGGAGTTCTAGTAAGAAGTTGTGACCAGTTGAGTCCAATCTGTGTCGGGTAGAGACAGGTATCTACCTCAGACAGTGGGTGAATGGTTGCGCAAGATTATGGACCGATTGAAGTTAGATATTAACACCATTAGAAGCCGGCTCACTGATCTAGAAATTATGCCTTCGCTCTCTAGACCGAAGGTCCTGGGTTTGAGTCCCGCATGCGGGATCATGGATGCGCACTATTGAAAGTCCTATACTAGGACGAAACAGCCGTTCAGTGTTTCCTGATTTTCAATGGTGGTCTAAATCAGATCCACTCATGAATCCAACGATTATGCCAAATTTTCGTTCATAAAAATCTGAAATTAGCGCTATTGTAAGGTTGAAATAATGTACTCTAATAGATGAAAAGTAAGGTGTCAGAGTGTTTAAAAAAACTATTTTTAACAATTGTTCATTTTCTTGAACACCAGACAGTGTCAAATGTCTTTTTGTAGTTTTCTTTGTGCTATGATATTAAATTATTTATTCAACGATAACATTGGTTTACAAATTGTTAGATAATCTTTCCATTCAGGGTATTCAAGATAATCAGTTACTGATTGGAATAATATTATTTATATCTCATGTAATAAAAAAATATATTAAATACTAAGGTTTGATTTAGTAATTTTGAGTAAATTGAGCATTAGTAGATTGTTATAAATAAATAATATATTTGTAGTATCCCAAATGAGATTTTCTGACTTTTAAATGTTTCAACGGAACAACATGAATATTATGTGATCAATCAAAAAACAGGTCTGAATAAATCAATGTCATGTCATTTCCGTTATACTATTTAAACTTGGACTAATTTTAGTTTGGTTATTTATTCTCTGAAGAAGTGGCTTGTACTAAGTGACGAAACGTCAGAAAATCTAACTTTTCTACTCATTGGGATATTACAAATATATTAATTTATTCATATTAAACACTGTTATGTCATTTTAGCAGCTTTCAAAAAGTATTTCTACTTTGATTCATAGAAAAAAAAAACATAATATTAAAGCCTATGTTTTAATTCATATCAATGTTGTTTTTATCATTTAATGAAAAAAGGATTGTTTTAATAAATGCTGGTTTGTGTAAAATCATATCTAATGCTAATTCTATTTGTGGATACTTTGAGTTGTTATTATTATTATTATTTTAAAGCTTCGATACTATTGCTGATTATTGTAAAATGTTTAATGATTGAAACTCAGTAATGGGTTAAATCTATGCAATGTGACAATCTCTACGAGTCTATTATTAATAATATAAATAAATAAGAGCTCAAACATAAATTTTCTCTTATTATGCGCTTTGAACATAGTTTTATTAACTTTTACTAAAATGTGTATACCAATATTGCTTTCTTAATGTTGTTTTTCTATTGTGTTTGAGTATTTATTTTGGATGGAATTTCATTCATACTGGTGGTTGCTTTTCAGTGTTCCCGAGGGCCATTGTCATTGGGACATTGTAAGGCATGCCGCCATTGCTAATATTAACGAGTTTGACTGTCGTGTAAGCGGAATAGGTCAACTTTGGCCTGTTCGTGCTGTGCATAATTGATTCACGCGATCATTGATCGGAATAACTATACATGTGATGTGAGTGTGTATATGAATGGTGCGAATGGTCCACCAGGGTGCTTGGTACCTGTGTGGTTGCGCCACAGGATTGAGCTGTACTATTCAGATTGTAGCGTTAAAGCCTGTACGGTGTCTGGTTCCTCCGCTAAACGGGGTTTTGCGTGAAAGTCTGGATGGTGTCTGGTTCTCCTGAAAACCAATGTAAAATTACCCTGGCCCACAAGGGTATATTATATAACTGTGGAATTTTAAAATTGGTTTTTATTTGTCGTTTTATTTTTGTTTTCCCGGTACTGAAGTTATTTTTTGAATTTATTATTGTCAGAATTTGTTTGAAATTTTTATGTTTTGTCAGATGGTATATTAAGTTTAGAATGACCTTAATTGTAATATTTTAAGACTGCATATACCTGATGTGGAGTTGGGTTCGAATCTTATTTATTTATTCTAACACAGAAATATTGGTACAAAGGAGCACTGAATTTCTATGCGTCACATAAGTCACTTATTTTGTGTGTGGGCTACGATACTGCCCAGGTGCCCAGACCAAAACAGGTGGTTTTCTTAGGGGGCCACACACGGAGCCTTCGACCTAAAGGTCTGATCCATAAAGCGGTGGAGCATCGTAAGGAGATGCAGTTCCATGGTAGCCGGTGACCCACAATTGGTTCATACGCCATTTGTTCCCTTAGGGTACTGCAGCCCATGTGCACCATTAGTTTGGAATCCGGTTAAAGTGCCGGATATTCGCTTTTTGTCCTCTCATTTTTGTAAACAACACCCCCGCCACGAGATGGCTGTGTGTAGGACTTCCATGGCAGTGTCTGCTTACGCATGGCCACGTGAGAGTATTTGGAGTTTGAGAGCACACTCCCCATCCTCGGCCGTATCAGGGGGAAAGTTCGAATCTAAAAATTACAGGTTGGAATCTGAGTGGTTTTCTTCTAAGCTACTACTTTTATAGGGATTTATGTGTACAGATCAATTTCGCAGGTATTCTGTAGTCATTGTTTTTTAGCAGTTGTTATTGAAAAATATGATCATAAGTTATTTGTGATTACACTTTTAAGGTTTTCAGTTGATATATTACTTCTGAAATAGTATGCTATCTGTGCAAGTTCCCATCATAAATTATTAGTCGCACCTCTTTAGTGTTCGGGGAAATGCTGCTTTTTGTCTAAATTAGGCTTATTGACTGCATTATAGATTCACCATTACACCACTTTTACTATAACATGCAGGATAGGGTTTCTCGACAAATCGAAGTGATAATTTTGGGATGTTTCTTGTGACTCAGAATTTCTTTTAAAATTTTAAAATCTTCAGTTTTTCAACCATTATTTACGAAGACTAAACAGCGTACCTCAGTTGTGTGAGCGTACATAATACGTATATTGTTTACTCTTCTCAAACAGCTATATTTGGGCAGTTGTTGCCTGAAATAGATCGTCTTCTCACGTTATGTAAAATTGTATGTGAAAAACTAATTGAATCAACAGATATATCAAAATTAAATCAAGTTGATGTTGATATTGAAAACTGTGAACTAGTTCGTAATCTTCGTGGACAGTTACTTACCGCTCATCAGTTGTTAACTGAAAAATTACCTGTAGATACAAAGATTGGTAAGTCTTGTCGTGATGATGTGTTTCATAACATTTATTTGCTTTCAAACTTATAATTTTGTACATAATAAAGCTTTTAACAGTGGTTTGAGTTGTTTTTGTGCAATATTTATAGAACGTTTTTTCACCTTTTTTTATGGTTCGTATTTGTTTGAGAATGATTTGAGAATCTGGATGCTAACGTTATGTGAAAATCCTTTTCAGTAATTCACATCAGTTCATTATGACTTTAGTAACAAATAATTCTGTATAAATCCTCTATCGATTATTGAATTATAGAGGGCATCAAATAATTGTCTTTATAATCTTATTCGAATTTTTCCTACATTCAAATTAATGCATTCAGTCTTATTGTAAATTGTTACACTATATGTTTGTCAAAATTCATAGTTAATTAGTGCTGTGATACATGAACTCGTTCCTTGAAATTCTTATACGTTGTTCATTAAGACTGTTTCTGTCCATCATTCTTGTTTCAGATGTTATACAACATTATTTAAAGGGATTATATTTTAATTAAAGTATTACTTTTTTCGTTGTAGTTCATATAATTGGATTACCCTTCTCTCGGTAAAATAATATATATCTTATTTTTGATCCCCTGTATAAGAAATTATTTATGTGCCTCTAATTATTCTGCATTGTAAATGTTTTGTAAATCTTTAGCACTTTTGGAAACATCTCAAATTGTTGAAACAGAACGTATTCAATTGCAAGCTGAAATGGATCGTCGACTTTCAGAATTTGAACGGAATCATACTGCATCATTGGTAGAGTTGGAGACAAATCGACATGATCTGATGCAACAACTTGATGAAATGGAATTAATGAATCGTGAATTAAAAAATGAAATATTCTCAGTTCAACAAAAACTTCAAGCTAAAGTATGTCAGTCATTAGACATGACTTTCTTTTTAATGAAGATAATATCTAGAATTATTAATAAATAAATCGTATCCTGGTTCGTTTCATATCTGAACCCCATGTCTGTCTCAGTTAATCTTTTACATATTATCCACATTAACTGTTATTGGTATTGTATTGAACAGATCACTAATAATTGTTTCGAATTCAAGAAATGGTAAATGTGTTTTGTGTCTTATCATTAATAGGAGAACCATTAGAGTTTTAAACAGTAATTTCTGAAATTTTGTCTAGTAAAGTTTATTAAGTTTAGGTTTAGATTTTTAGCGTGGGGGATTGTAATTTACCCAACTTGGTTCTCAATCTTCATTAACTTTAGAATAATTGTATTATTAATGTGATTCTATACTCAAGAATTATGCCTGACAGTTCGGTCTTAATCGTTTGTAAAGTGAATGACCTACAGATTGATTTTCTTCAATGTCATATGACAGTTAATCATGTTAATTTTGTGTTAAGATTCTGTATATAGACGTGTCATATCATATTATTTTATGTGTGAAGCAAAATCATTAAGAATGAATAGTATTCGCAAGTTACTAGTGTTATAACTTGTGACTGCTGATTAGAGAGCAGTGACCTATCGATCGGATCAAAGACACATAAACCGGTAAGAGCGGCCTAGAGTTCTGATTGGTCCCGCTTCCCTGTCTGGCCTAGCCAGTTGAGTCCAGAACGCCAGTCTCAGCCTCTGAAATATGAATCATTATATTTCAAGCATACTCTTTATATATCAATCAAGCAGACCATAAAATAGAAAATAACATTTGACACGTGAAATAAGTATTGACCAGTAGGAAAATGATACCATCTCAAGTCCAAGAATAGCATTAGACTTAATAATTTTTGGGATATTTTCCTGAATATCCCAACAACTAGTATTCGATCATGTGTCATCGAACCATCTCTTGAGTAATTCGGTGTCACCTAATAAGTGATGATTAGGTTAGGGATAGCGTACTAGGCAAGGATGGCAGGTCGATTGATAGTGTAATGGATCTTCATCAACATAGGGGGTTGGGATGTGTTACATACGTCTAACCACCGCCTGCCTTGATGTGAGATGCTATGTGATGTAGAAGTATCGTCGGCTATAACAAAACATGGCATGAGTCTATGAATTCATTTACAATTGGACTGGGTCGTGTTAATAGGTGTAGATTGCCTGATTGAGGTCCGTGTGATTGCCGTAACCTGTTTGAATGAAACACATGGATTTAATTCTTATCTTCCTTTACAATCCGAGTTATGAAATCTTATACCTTTTTCTTCTACACCTAATCTTTCTTTCTATCACTGATATTGTTACTACTTCTACTACTCTGGGATTTTTCTTGATAAGTAAATCTCTCTGTCCTAATGAGATGTGACAACATAAACCGATGCACATGTGTCCCAGGTTCTGGATCTCACATGACTGTCTGACCGAAAAAGAAAATCCTATTCTTCTAGCCAATGGCTTTGTCTTTGATTTTATATGATTAATGGGCTTACATTAGTTATTCAGTCTCGTAAATAAACTTCACTCGATCTCATATCATATCACTTCTTTAATCTACTGATCAGCATTCTATCTTTTCATCGTAACGGTCGAAAATTTGATTTCTTTAAACTCAGTAAAACCCTTCTTTATAGAACAATCTAAAATGATAAGATGGTGTTTTAGATAAGTTATACTTTTACTCTCGTTTGCCAGTTTGTTGTGTGGCGGAGGGGCTATTTAAATTTTTCATTTTTATTTTACCAATACACAACTAGTTTTTATGAGTTCTTGGTTATTTCTTCCAAATTTCGCGTAGGAGAAATTCCTCAATGAGCAAATAGAAGAAAGAGAACTAGAACGAGAGGAATTCCGTATCGAATTAAATCGTCTTAAAAGTGAACTTGAAATGAAAAAGTTAGTTTCACTTACTATTAAGGTTGATTATATTATTTATTAAAATGTTGAATTTGATTTATTTGAACACATAAACATTGGTACAAGGGGGCACCAAATTCGTATGAGGTTGTGAAGAGATAGAGAATGTAAAGTGCGTATATTAAAAGAACAACGACGAATAGAAATGAGTGTATAATAATAATAATAATAATAATAATAATAATAATAATAATAATAATAATAATGGAGAAAACAGTTCAGTTAGGAAGAATAAAATCGGAAGAAATTTGTTGTATTTATGCCCGAATTTTTATCACGTGATTTATTCGCCAATCTAAATACGACTTATTCAATCTCAGTATTGTGCTAAACCAATGACGTTCGACCAGTGTGAGCAGCCTAGCGTCCTTGTTGGTCATTAGCTCGCCAGAACATCAATACCAGCTTCCATTATGCGAATCATTTATTTCAAACATACTTGGCTTATATACCAGCCAAAAGACCTCATCACACTATAAAAAAGGAAATAACATTTGTACAAGATCAAGCCAGAAAGTGTCTGTGAATGTGGGAGACTGTAATGAATAAACTGAACATAATTTACGAACTGTAAACCGTATAATAATAATCTATAAGTTAAAATGAAGCTTATAATAAGATTGGTATGAATATACACAATCTAATTGCTGAATAGTTATACAATAGGATATATATATATATATCCTGAGCCTTGTCTGATAACATCTCTAGCCACTGAATTCCTCCATCTCTAGGACCCCAACTAGGGGATTGTGAGGGACCAACAGAAGCCAGTTCTTTGCAACTTTCTTTCATATCACGACACCATGTTATTCACTGACGACCTTTTCGCCTTTTCCAACCGGTCACAGCGTCGGCAAATAATGCACGATGTGGAATTCTCTAAGTAGACATACGTAAGAAATGTCCAAGCCACCGAAATCGATGTTTCACGATAGTGACAACAATTGAATCATCATCGTTGTGTCCGAACACACGATGAAGAACCTCTGTATTACTAAAATGGTGTTGCTACTGGATGTTAGAAGTCCTTTGGAGACGACGGTAATCAAACACAGAGAGTCGTCTAACATCTCCAACTCGGAGAGGTCAGGTCTCACAAGCATTGAGCAAAACTACTCTCACCGACGCATTATGCATCTATCCTTTTACAGTCAGATTAACATCACGACGTTTGTTCCATTCCAAACGACTTTGAGCCATGTAATTCAAAGTCTAACCATTGATGACGATAAACACGCGGACCCCAACCAGGTAGTCTACACCTAATTAACACTGCTGCACAACAAACTCATCCTTTAGTTAGTTGGTAGACATATCTCCCGTACTTCACAAAGGATGCAATTTATCAGAAGCCTAATGAGCTTTGTGAACCTGTGATGAGATTTTGTCAGACACCAGTCCATCAGGACTGATGAGACTCCCAAGATGGGAGAAGTTTTCTATACGTTCTCCTTCACTCCTTATCATTAATTCAGACGATGACGCAAGCCAATATTGATGTAGCATTTTGTATTTGAAGGGGGAAAACCGCATCCCATACATGCCTTCATTGTTACTTAAGGTTGTCATAAAACTCTTAAGCAACTGAGTTAATAAAGCTATACTTATTAAATAAAATTCATCTAAGTACAACAATGTTTCATTCATCTATTGGAATTCACTAATTGAACATTACTTTTTCTCATTGCACATTCGTTGTAACAAATTGGAACTTTCTGATTTCGTCCAACTTAGATTCACAAAGTAATCCACTTTTCAGATCATTGATTTTGATGAACTATTCTTTAAAATGTTTGTGTAACATTGTCATTAGTATTTTTTTCATTCTGTGGTCTGTACATATCAAATATACCTGTCGGTTTACTAAGTAATTTTACCTCATCCGTTTTTTGTACAGATCACAGGTGATGTCATATAAATTAGTGGATACTAGTGATACAGATTCTTGTACTACACCGTTGAGTATAAAAGAAACAGGACAAAATAACTTCGTACCTCATTGGATATCTGATTTAAAAATGGAACATTTATGTCAAAATGATTCTATTAAACCAAATATTCAAACATCTGTACAATCTAAATCACGGGATATTGTATCATGGAGTAAACCCAGTGATTCTGATGATGATATATTAAGCGGAAATATAAACAATACAATAACACAGAATCAATATAAATATGTTGACCAACAAAATGATTGGCAACCTTATACAGTTCCAACAATCAATAAGCACAGTAATTTCATTGATTCCGAGACAAATACATCTGAAAATTACGACATTCAAAATTATTCAGATGAGATTGATACCAAGCAAGTAAAAGTAATTAATGATTCTAATGCTCATATACAACAGCATCAAGTGAATTTATGTGATGCTTGTACGCAGGTTAGTAGTAATTTGACTTCATTAATTCACATGTACTTTTAATTAAGATCCTGAACCGATCAATGTCAGACCAACATTGAAAACCTAGAAAAAACTGGACGGTCGTTTCGTTCTAGTTGGGACTCTTCAGTAGTGTGCATCTACGATCCCGCACGCAGAACTCAAACCCAGGGCTTTCAATCTCGTGCTCAAACGCTTAACCTCTAGACCACTAAACTGGCATCGAACGGTGTTTACGTCTTAAGATACTTATATATATAAAGTTTGCTGCAAATATAATATAATTGTTTATGACGTTTGTTTAAATGAATCAAAATATTATGCAATTTAAAATTAATATCATTAATTGAATAGGTTTTGAACCCGACAATTTAACATTATTTTTTCAAAATGCAAGGATCATTCTTCTGAATTGTCAGTTATTTATTCATATATATTAGATTGGTGATCAAGAACTCCAAAAAAAACAAACAAATTTATGCTAGTAAATATATTAACTTAGTTGTAAAATTCATTTACTTTCGAACTAATCCAAATCACTTGAAATGCTTAGAAACAGTGAACAGTAAAGTCTAGTAATTATTATGTGCTCACTAGTGACTAGCTTCGAGTGGTATTTCTTGGAGTTCTGGTGAAAACTCATGACCAGTGGAACTAAACCGTATGTGGTGTGAGGCATTTACTCACTGAAGACAATGGAAGGTTGTCTCACAGTATCATCGGTTGTTTGAATTTAGACATTAACACTGTTGGACACCGGCTTAGTGGTCTAGAGTTTAAGCATTCACGCACGAGATCGAAGGTCCTGGGTTCGAATTCAGCGAGTGAGATCGTCAGTGCACACTCCTTAGGCGTCTCACATCATGATGAAACGACCGTCCAATGTTTCCAAGTTTTCAATGCATAACATTTAAGATTGATCTTGATTTGTTATAGAAATAGTAAATTTATCTACACTTTTAATGTAATTAACTTCATTAATCCTACTGAAATGTAAAACTAACATTAATGATCATAGGAATTTTTCAGTTAAATAGTTTGTTGATAAGTCAACTAATTAAAAAAAAAGTAACTGTATTGATAAATTAAAAATTTGTCTTCAGATTTCTATTGATTGTTTAAAGGTATATGATTTTTGTTACTTACACCGGAAAGGTGGGAGATGTGTAAACATTGAATAATTTATTCAATTTACAACGCAAATACAATACATTCATGCTGCTTTAAAAATGTATCTGAAAAAATAATTGTCAAGTTGAAATCACCATCAAAAATACTATAAATTACTGAAACATAAGTTAGTTTAATTTATGGTATCTTTATGGTATCTCAGTTAATAAGATTAACAGTTACAAAGTTATAAAATCATATGAATTATGATAATCAATCTTAATACGAGTGTATGGCAATGAAAATATTGCATATAACAATATTCAATTAATCAGTCAGTCACATTATAAGTTAATTTGATGATCTGTCAGGATGTGCATTGAAAAACATTCCTCAGAGTTCAATTCTTTTAACATTTGCTCTATCGAATGACCTTTAAAAGGACATTGAAATCGTGTAATCATATTCATTGGGGAATAAAGTTTATATTTTGTAAGAACGAAATCATGGTTTCAATAGTTTGTGTTAATAACAAGTAGTTAATTTACATTTTAGGTTTCCAAATTTCATTTACCTATCATGTAATTACATTTTTTTTAAATATGGTGGATATATGATCTTATATCGTTAGTCCAATATTTTTATTGATCATTTATAAAATTCAACTTTCAACAACAATTGTTCGTAAGTTTGAATCTAATCTCATCTTCTATGCCGATTATATTGACCCAGTTTCATTACTATGATCTGGTTATTAACTAATAAGTTACATCATATTTGGTTGTAGTAGCGTTTAGCTTAGTTTATGCTAGGGTTGAAGCTATCATGAGTTCACTTAATCTGCGAACGAGAAACAAGACTCGGTGACCAAAGACCAGTAAGCTAGCTATTGATGCGTTCCATCCCCGCTAACTAGAGGGAGAAGTCCAAGCTTGGAATGGGGAAGTATATTCTGCAAACAGCCAGAAACGAGCGATAACAACAAACACAATTCAAAACGTATATATACAGTACAAAATCGTCCTTGGGGAGAGTTACCAAATAGAATACTAAAAGACGCAACGGACCAATAGAATTTAAGATATTTCCCAGTGGGTAATACAACATAAAGGTGACAAGAGCGCCTTTGGCGCGAAAACAAAGAAATCCAAAATTTCTAAATAAAATTACAAAATTAGGTCCTTTCCCAAGTGAGTTCTGGGGATCTAACGTCCCCAACAATCTAGCACTACTGCTACAATTTATTTGTGTTTAATACTCTGTTATATTTTTCGTTTGGTTCTAGGTTGAAGTGATCAAGTTTGATAAGTTTGTAGAAGCAACCATTGATTCTGTTGATATGGAGGTGCAGATCGCTATTGATGATGAGGTTAAAGACCTCGGAACAGCGGTATGTTTCAATGTATTACAAAATAAATGTGTAAATTTTCCTTATTCTACTCATTTACACATCATAGTTCTTGGAAGCGAAACTAAATATATTTGTTGTTAATTCAGAGTGCTTGTAAGCATACTTAACAATCTCCGTTTCCACTTGAGACAGTGTAAAGCACTCACTCCTTACTCAATAATAATAATGATAATTTTATGAACCATTTTAGTGATAGATAATCAGAATTTTACATGGTCTACCTCGCTTGGTTTTGATCCACATTTCATATGATGGCTGATGATACTATTCGACTGTTCAAGCCCCGGTTGATAGAGCCAGGTCTAAATTTGTGACCTATTGATTGAAAGTTGAGAACCTTGACTACTGAGCGTTTATTTGCGACTCTTTGGCTGGATTTATCAGCGTCATGAATTCCACTGTCATCCATGATCCAAAGATAGAAACGTTTTAACAAAGACTATTGCGATATCCATTCAGAATACAGATATCCCGGCAGAGACTAATTAGTTGGAATCAACAATCGAAAAATACAAATTCTTAAGACGAAGTTATCAGTACGGGATTTTCAAATGTTCATATTTAACACAATAATAGTCTTCGGCGTTCTATTATCAAATGACTTTATGGTGTATTATAAATGGTTATAAATTATCCTTTTTCTCAAAACTCCCTTCAACCTTGAATATCCCCATAAATAATCGTTTGTAAATACAACATATGATGTAATTGAGCAATTTTTGTGATTGATTCGTTTTACTCATTCAAATGCTTTCTGTCTTACATTTCCCTACATTAATTACTCCCATCAACTTAAAAATGTTTATTATTCGCGATGATTCAAGTAGTATTTCTCACCACAGAAAAAACAATAGTTTGGTAGTGTCATCATTTATCACATATTTGTTTTTTTTTTTGAATTATTTACTCTTTATTAGGTTATTGATAAGTTACTGTGACATTTGAAATACTAATCTTTAATCTTTTTTTTCAAATGTATGTCTCGTTTATTAATGAGTTTGTAGGTCACAATAACAAGGTTGGACGTGATATAGTATCAAATAAATTGAGTTTTGAGTAGAATGTTAATCTTATATATATGTTTCGTGATATCTCAATAAGTCACTTCTTCAGAATAGAAGTGACGTGCGTTAAGTCTCCTTTGTTTTTTTGTTTGGTAAAGTCAAATTTAATGCAAATATTTTACTACTTACATTTGTCTATATGTTACTGCTTAACACTAGCTTGAATTGTGTTCGTTAGACAACCGACTTGATAAACACTTGACATAGATTATTTCATGAAGTCTGTATGTAAGATATCGGTTTTTAAAGTTTCTAATTACATTTAGCCATCACTTATCATCAAGTTGATTATAATGACAGTTGATATAACCATTAATTACGTAACTTCGTTTCCTCCATATGGTCATACTGTAAGCTCTGATCACAAGTGTTACAAATTGTGGCCTGTGCTCCCTGTTAATGTATAACGTAAAGATACCGCCATTTGGAGAGCAGTGAATTACTGATCGGACCGATGACGTGTATGACCTGTGCGAGCAGTCTAGAGTCTTGATTGGTCCTGCTTTTCGCCTAGCCCAGACAGTTGAGTCCAGAACACCAATCTCAGCCTCTGCAATATGAATCATTTATTTCAAGCATACTGGGTTTATATACCAACCAGACAAACCACATTGTACCATAAAATATGAAACAACATTTGTACAAGAATTAGCCAAAAGTGGCTGTGAATGAGGGAGGTAGTAATTAATAGCATAATTCGATGATGGTAAGTCGTATAATAATAGTTTATGGGTCAAAATAAAGCTTATGATAAGAGGAACATGAATATGAATTGTTTAGTTACATAACAATTATACGATAAAAATATACACATAGTATTGGTCCATAAATGGATCCCAATGTTACCATTGATTATGCATATCGGAGCATAACAAAAAGTAAACCATATCTCTGTTAATTGTATCATAAAAGCTAATTCATAGATTACAAATGCAACATGATTTTCTATTGATGGTCAACAAAGCTCCTATATAAAACTAATATTTATACTTCAGGCTTGTACAATTATTCAGTCAATTTGTAATATTTCATAACCAGTATGATGACAGTCTTCTATCATTAGGTTCGTACTGAATGTTCCGTGGTTTTATTACTATCAACCTTCAACATTTCACTGTTTTCACATTAATCGTAATGTTTTCTTCCTATATTTCAAAATACATGTAATTCAATCGAACCGGATTTGTCGTACTTAATATTCGGTGCTTGTTTTATAACACATAATTGATAACGGGTTAAAAGTGCATTCTTTTTAATTTTCAGAACTCACGTGAACAACTAAATTTAATACCATCAAATCCTAACGATAATATAAATCATTCGGATAATACCCGTTATTCTAATCAACCTACTCGAACTACAAAAACAACAACTCGTTCTCGTACCTGGAATACAACTTCAGCCGCTGCTATACTTAGTCATATTGTTGTAAAAGAAGAGGAAGAAGAATCAATTGTGACTATTGTAGATGAATCAGATACACCTAACAATAGTACAATCAATAATAATAATCAGAAGTTTTATCAAGATCAAATTGAAAAATGTAAATTGGAAATTTCCAATTTAAGAAAACAACTTGATCGAATAAATACATGCCAAAAAGAAATGGAACAAACGAAACAATCATTGGAAGTATGTCAACAGTTTATTTAATATTAATTTTAAAAAAAATTATATTAGTTAAGGTTGAAAATGATGGTTACCGACTGTTTCCAACTAACGTTTAGTTATATCTTTTATTGAAAGTGTCAATATTCAAAGATTAATACTTAAATTCTTTGGTTCGGAACTACTACCACTGTGATCAACTCCATTTTGTTCTGAAGATGGTTTATTATTATTAATATTCAAACTGTCGAATACTTCATTGACTTCAGTTGTCAGGACCTCCATGTCTTATAATCCAATAGATGTTTATTTGTATACATAATAACCTATGTTCGATTCGGAGTGGTTTTAGATGAAGACTTCTAATGAGTCTCGTGACAGAACAAAATAACTGTCCTATGCGTTGTGGTTTTTTACTGGTTGTTTACTTATAATCCATCAATCTAAATTAACTATAAAACTAAACAATCTCCACTAATCCATCATAATAAAATGTGAAGTTGTTGATACTAATTTACGTTGAAAGATTTTTTTTACACTTATCTGATACACACAGATCCTTTCATAAATTTGATGTACCATTGTTTGTTTCTTCTACATTTCACTTTTGCTCTAGTTTATACAACAAAAGCAAGATAAAGGTATCCAAACTATGGTGTTTTGTCCAAATCTATCTAACGATGTCAGGTTAAAAACTTCACTAACTCATCATATTTCATCATCTATTCATAGAATGGTGAGTTTTCAAATTTTCATTTGTTGACCTTATGATGCTTATAACATAGTGTAAAGATTACACAGTTGACGTAGGACATATTGATAAGGGTATCACTGATATTTTTAATATTGTTCATACGCATCATCATACAAATTGTTTATTTACAAAACTACAAGAAATGCACATATATTTTATGATTTTATGCAAAATACGTTTAAGCATCTACTCCGCCTGGAGTCTTTCCGGGGGCTACTGCCGGTCCCAAGCCCGGATAAAGGAGGGGGTTGGGCATGAGGTTAGCGACTCCATCCCTTAGAAAACTAACTCTCTAAAAAAACTAGAAAACATTATTCAAGCCATTTAAACTTTGCCCTGGGAGTCAGAAGGTCTTCATTTAGAAGAACTAACGCCTCATAGAGAAAGCCGAGTTCCTTCGGAAGTCACGAGGCCGATGCCCATTCTGACAACCAGGGCAACTATTTATTTCGGTACATGGAATGCTCGTACAATGTGGGGAACTGGAAGAGTCTTCCAAATTGCTGCAGAAATGAGGAGATTAAACCTAGAGGTACTTGGGATCAGTGAAACACATTGGACGCAAGTTGGACAACAACGACTAACTTCAGGGGAGCTTCTGTTATACTCTGGCCATGAAGAAGAAAATGCCCCACATACACAAGTAGTTGTATTGATGCTATTCAAACAAGCACAAAATGCACTTATATGATTGGAATCTCATGGACCAAGGATCATCAAAGCCTCCTTCAAAACAAAGAAAGAGGACATTACAACGAACGTCATCCAATGCTATGCGCCTACCAACGACTACAATGAAGACGCTTAAGATCAATTCTACGATAGGCTGCAGTCAATCGTCGAAAAGTGTCCAACAAAGGACCTGACCATTCTGATAGGAGATTTAAATGCCAAGGTTGGAATGGACAACACCGGATATGAAGACATCATGGGACGACACAGACTGGGAGAAAGGAACGAAAATGGTGAGAGATTTACAAACATATGTGCCTTCAATAAACTGGTCATAGCCGGCACCATATTCCCACATAGACGCATACACAAAACCACATGGACTTCATCTGATCACACTACGTAAAACCAAATCGACCATATCTGCATCAACAAAAAGTTCAGGAGGACGATGGAGTATGTGAGAACTGAGAGAGGAGCTGATATAGCATTAGATCATCACTTGCTGGTCGCCAAGATGAAATTGTAACTCAAGAAGTACTGGACAACGGGGCGGACAATATCACAAAAGTTTAATACGGCTTTTCTTCGGGATAGTGACAAACTCAACAAATTCAAGATAAAGAAGTAACGAATTGAGCGAAGAAATTTTTTTCAATTAGTTTTCATCATGGCTCTACACTAATATATATATAATTTATAATAATGATGTAATACTCATCGAGTGGATACGTTACGTAACAATTACATAATACCGAATTGTACGCCCTAAATAACTGGCTCCACAGGAGCAGTTGAAACGATAGATACACATAGATTTGGCGAATTCTGGCAGTCTGTCTTTAATGGATGTTCTTATTTTCGGGTGGTTGTAGAATATAACATTTAATCTGATTGAATTAAATGTTTTTCGTACAGCTCTTCTTACTTTCTGAGTCACGATTTCTTCAGTGTTGTGATTTATGAATTGTAATTTTATGAACTGTACTTTCTTAGGGACGGTAGGTATCTTTGCCCTTGTTTTCTTCTCCTTCATGTGCTTGTCGATGAATTTCATAGGGTACCCATTCATACTAAGTAAGTTCCGGATATTAACCAGTTCATCCTCAGTGGTGTCTTCCGAGCAAATCATTCTGGCACGATGAGTCAAGATCTTTATCAAGTTCCTTTTGTATCTGATTGGAACTGCACTATGGAAATGAGTGTATTGTCCTGATTCAGACTTTCTGTATATCTCTCTTTTTAAGGTTCCGTCTTCTCTTCTAGTTAGTTGGACATCTAGAAATGATATGCCATTGTTCTGTTCATCTTCTGATGTAAAATTAATTGATAGATGAACGTTATTAAATATATTAAGTAAATTATCCGTATCATGTTGTTTTAATACTATGAAAGTATCGTCTATATAGCGATAATAAGTTGGTAAATGGTTAATTGTTCTTTTAAGTGGTCCATTTTCCAGTTTTGCGAGGGAAATATCCGCTAGTAGAGGGCCCAATGGTGACCCATGGCAACGCCATCTAGTTGTCTATAGTAATCGTTGTCAAATCTAAATTGGACATTCATTGTGCATCTAAAAATTAACTGTTTTATTGCGGATGCGCGAATCGTGGTTTCAATGCGCCTCACTGTTAGTTCATTGCAAATAAAATCATCTTTCTTCCAATTACTCAATCTCAATTTAAATGTCATCATGTATTTGTTACGTAACGTATCCACTCGATGAGTATTATATCATTATTATAAATTATATATATATATATATATATATATATATATATATTAGTATAGAGCCATGATGAAAAACTAATTGAAAAGAAATTTCTTCGCTCAATTCATTCCTTCTTTATTTACCAAATGTCAAAATAGGAATTTTCACTATATTGATACGTTCTGAGCAAACATTTGCGCTAAAGGGTCTCATCTTGTTCTAAAATAACATCTTTCCGCTCTGACATTGGATTGTTAAGACTTTTACATTTATTCTACAGTGAAAAAAAGTATTTAGAGATAAGAAAATGATTAGCAATTATCATGACACCAAAAATAAATGTGATAGATTACAGATAATTCTTAACAAAATTAACAAGGAAATAAATACTTTAAATCAGTTGCACCATTTTTTCCCACGTAACATATTCTCTTGATGATGATATTTCGTTAATTAAAAACCTAATCATAAACTAAGGTACATAAACTGGAAGATATTTGGATAAGCATTAGAAATTTATCGCTAAACATATGACATACCATTTTTTGAAAGTTTATATAATGTAGTAGTTCGAACCCTGTTCTACTAGTATTTTTATTTTAGTTCAATTAATCACAAGTCAAAAAAACACTACATATGCTATTGTTAATTTGTTATTGTAAAAAGGTCTTTTGGTAGCACTAAGCAACAATGCCAGAATGTTTGGAATGCGCTTCTCTCCCTCTAAATGCAAGTTGTTGCTTCAGGACTGGTCTGCGTCAACACCTGAACTAAGGATAGGGAATGAAGTAGTGGAACGCGTTGACAACTTCACTTTTCTTGGAAGTCTGGTCAGTCCTAATTGGTTGGTGTCTGACGAAATCTCAGCACGGATTCGAAAAGCTCGCTTGGATTTTGCCAACTTACGTCACCTTTGGCGAAGGCGAGATATCCGTCTATCAATAAAAAGACGAGTATACTGCGCGGCAGTCCGTTCTGTTTTACTTTACGGCAGCGAAACATGGCCTTTAAGAGTAGAAGACACTCGTAAGCTACTAGTATTTGACCAAAGATGCCTTAGAAATATTGCTGGCGTCTGCTGGGATCACAACCAAAACGTGGCATCAGTGCCTGAAGACACTAATTTCTAGTCTGAGCCATGTTAGTAGATGCAGACTACTTGGTTGGGGTCCGCGTGACTTTCGTAACCAATGGTTGGGACTCTTGGTGACATGGCTCAGAATCGATCACAATGGCGTCGGTGTATACACCCCGTCTTTCCTTGAACTAAGAGATTAAAATCGCTTCATATCTTTCTTTCTACGAACTAATTCTTTCTTCCTGTACTATATCTCTATATGCAATCTTCCTCTTATTTATTACCACCTTTGACCAAACCACTGCTATGAATCCGGTGTTCATCTTGTTGTGCTGATGCGGTATGGCAATCTGGACCGATGCACATATGTGCCTGGTCCTACGTTGTAGCTGACTGACTGATTGTAAAAAGGTGTTCGTGTTTAAACAACTTAAATATTAAAAATAAATAAGTAAGAAGGGGATGCTTAGAGTATTTCGGACTTCGAGCGATCCATCAGTGATATTATTTGAAAGAACTCTGAGATTTGTTAAATGCAGCAAAGAATCTAAGTTTTTTTTTCATCTGCCCGGTCAATTTAATTGTAATTGAATACATAGTACAAATAATAAGTGATAAGATTTGTGTCAATTTATTAACTGAGAAAACAATTAGAAAATACACAATCAGTTTAAGTTTAGCAATACATCATTGTCGATGTAAATGACAACACACATCAACATATAAACCTAACAAACTGGATCACATAGTCATACTCAAAATCTTTGGGTGTAAAAACCTTTACATATCTGTGCAGCATCATTGAGGAACACGGTGGATCTGATGCAGATGTGAAGGCGCGTGTCGGCAAAGAAAGAGCAACATATCTACAACTGAAGAAAATCTGGAACTCAAAACAATTGTCAACTGCCAACACCAAAGTCAGAGTTTTCAATACAAATGTCAAGACAGTTCTATTGTATGGGGCGGAAACCTGGAGAAATACGAAAAACATCATCCAGAAGATACAGTGTTTATTAACAGCTGTCTACACAAAATACTTCGGATCCGTTGGCCAGACACTATCAGCAACAACCTACTATGGGAGAGAACAAACCAGATCCCAGTGGAAGAAGAAATCTGAATGCGCTGGAAAACAATTTTTATTGGTCCACCCTCTCACTAATCAATCACATTACGAAGATATTCAACATATTCAACTTTTATATTACTGTTTTGTCTTCCTGAATCAACACTCATAGAATTAAATAAATCAGTTACATGACCACGTCGCATCACAAATAAGGAAGTTTAAAGTTGTATATAACCAAGTCATATATCTCCGTAAAAATTGAGCAATAAGTCTATTATTAATTACTGATAATTTTCAAATGGTAAAGCATGCAGTAACGGTTTGTGGAATAAGTGAAAGTTTATAATAAGAGCGATAGAATAAATAATATTATCCACGGATTTAATAATTACACAGCCGAAATATACTTAATAATTTTCCGTAAAAGTTCCATTTTCTCTCAATTTAACAGTGTCGTCAAAGTTATTTTGTGGCAATATTCCTTCATATTCTTCACAGTTAAACAGCCAATTACATTCGTATTGATAATTGCGTTTCTGTGTTTAGTTGTAGTCGAATTATTTAGAAAGAGCTTGATCAAACTTGTACGTCAACTATTTTACCGACTGTACAAAACTTTCCTATTTTTATACCTTTTTTTTCAACGAATCAATTACGTTAACCACATAAGATACTCACACAGACCTTCACATAGAAGGTTAACAATTTATTGTCAAGTTTTATGCTGTAAATTTCAAATGAAACTACATCAATTAGCAGATATTTTCTTTTTTGCGTGTATCCTGAAGATTAACAAGCAACAATTAAATTGGGATTCATGAATATAAAACGTAGATAAGATGAAAAATCATCATTAATAAGCAGTTCTTTGCAATACTTCATATTGTTTTCTGTTGAGATTCTATATTGTAATAATAAATTTGGTATGAACTTGAATAATACATTTATTATTATTATTATTATGCATCATTCATTTTCATTTCTGTAATTCACTTTAGCATCATCGTTCTTTACCGGCTTTGTTCTCACCATCATTCTCTTCAAATAATGAAGACACTGGTGTAGAAATGTCTCAAGGTCTTTTAGACTTAGAGAGTATTGAATCTACAACTCCATCAACTGCAAAATCACCAATTATTCAAGATTTAATTTTAATGAAACATGACAAATGTTCTTCTCCCGAAGATGAAAATCTGCAGACTTTGATGGGATCTCCTATTTCTGATAAAGATGATGAATTGGAAAATGAAATTCCAGAGATAATGCTTTCATCAGAACATCTGGATGTTACTCCAAGTTCATGTGTTTCAGAGAACGCTTGTTGTAAAATTCCTGATTCCGTTGACTCTGATCCTCAAACTATATGTGCTATATCCAACAGTAATGTTGAAAATCCAGGAGCTGTGGTAAGTTTCTATACTTATCATATAATCATATATTATGTATCTAACTGTATATATATTGTAGTCTTAGTTTGTATTATTAATGATATACATTCAGACAAATCATGGTCCCTAAATTCTATATATCTTGCGACTTTAACTACAAACTTTCTGTAGCTACTAACATAAAGTTATTTATTTCAGCTCCGTTTTTATGTCATAACCTTTTTTGTTTCATAGATGTGCAGTTGATTAACTCAGTATATTTCATTCAGTGTAGACATTTTCCTGTTCAATGTTGTTGGAGTTTTCTCTTTCAGTGGATTCGTCTGACTGTTTTAAGATGGTAGTAATCAATCATCAAGCCGCCACCGAGTTCAGAGTAATGAGGAGTACTTTGACCCTTACTGTAGACCTTCCTTCGCACTTCGTTGGGTTTAAACTCCAGGTGAACCGTATTCATTTGCTTTTAGGAGTTTAGTATGTGTTAGCGTGGTGGCATCATTGTTCGCTCTTTGTTATATTGCGAATTCGATATAGTACTAACCAAGTAATACTGAATAAAGCAATAATAATAATAATAGTTGTTATTCTTATTCCTCTTCTTATTATTACTACTAATTATGGTTTCTGTATGTGCATTTTTGAGATATAATTCACTTCTTAATGAGTTTACATGCTGAATAAGATTCACTTGTTCCTGTCGACTTCGATAATGTCATTCATGTATCATATATTTACTGTGTATGTGAATGAGTATCCACTATCAGTCTGTTTTATTTTCATCTTTGTAATATCTACAGTATTGGGATTGTTTGATAATTTTATTTATTGTTTCTACACAATTATAGGTTTCATTGTCTGAGGTTTCAACGTTAATTGAACAGCTTATGGAATCAGAAGTTCTTATTAAAGCACTACGTAATGAAATTAGTGGTCTCACAAAATACCAAGTAAGTTACATATACTCATACATCTCTCTATTCAACTGTTAATAAACGTTATTTTATGTCATGTAATAAAACGTTTTGCAAATCCAAGTTACAAAATTATACTACAATAAAAAATGCTCTGTGTTTTGTGTGTATATTAAATGAAACATTCTTTTGGTGTGAGAACATTTTCCGGATAATTTTTTTGACATTTTCGTTGACTGACTCTTAACTTGTGTTCATATGCGATTTCTGACACATACAAAGTGAAAATGCAGTAGGTTGGAAGTTGCTCAACAATCAGGTCATTTATTCTAAGTAAAACTTTCATTCAAGACGACATCTGGCTATTTAGAAATTAATTGTTTTATTTGCGATTGAGTATATCTTTGTGTTTATCAAGGTGATGCAAGTCTTATCTACAACCTTACTAACGAGCCCCAGCTAACACGAAAACTTGGTTACAGCTTTAATTTAGATTACCTCCAATCACTGGACTTCCAAACAAAGTCCCCGTGATGTCGTATTAATTACACTATTGACACATTTTAAAATTAAGGATTGGATTGGATGACTTTTCAGTGATCATTCGGTGGATACATTTTTATCGTAGATCTTATTTCTCTCACTTTACTATCTTAACTCAAGTTTTATTTTTCTGGTTGTTGTTTTTCTTCGTTGTTTTTTCCGGTTGTATTTTCCGGTGTATTTTCTGAAGTACACTACCATTATGTAATGCTGTGTCTTTAGTTAAGAAAAAATTCTTTCCTTCTAGAAAATATTAAGTACTTCATATGACTTTTATTGTAAACCTAAATAATTTTATGTGTAGAACAAAATTCCTACAAAATAATCCTTATAGATTAGCATATCCATTTTACCGTCTGTCACTGTGGCCGATATTATTTAATGCTATGAAATCATCTGCCTTTCTGATCACACTGTGTTGTGTTTTGTAATTTCCTCGTATTTTATAACTAATTCTTGTCTTAATGTATGATTTTACAAATCTAGTTTTTTCTTGTGACTTCACTATGTACATGTGATGCATGAACATTTGCAGTGTATTACTTGAATATGTGTGAAATTCTACTTATAAGTTGTTTGGCAGCGAACGCATTGTGTTCATTATATCAATCACTTTTTGAATAAATCTGCAAGTTTGTAAGCGCACTTACTTTTGCTTCTCAGGTTTATGCTTATAACACATATAGGTTAAAGCATTCAAAGTAAGTTTTTATCTGATGCAATAAACAGCGCTTAAATTGATGACCGACACTTTTTCCCAGTTCACAACTTTCTGTTGTAACTTCGATTGTTATGTAAGGCATAATTTAAATTGGGATACTAAATTCTTAAAAATTCTTACTAGTCATTTTAATATTCTAATCACGTACATGTATTGTAACTGCAGGTTGATAACATTTCCTTTCTATGACTTTCGTGGTTTTAATGTTTCAATGTGTATTATAAACTTATCAAAGCAAATGGCACGTAATCAAATCTATATTCGGATTACTGAATGTCCTACATTAATGGCAGTGAACGTCGTCTGCAAATATCTAACTGATATCGCAACTGATAACGTAATCTTTATGAATGAATTATAACAGTTTTGTGAATAGGTGGACTCATTTGTGTATAATTATCTCAACTAAATTGTTAATTACAGTTCGAACATCTTCAAAATTTATGATTATAATTAAAAGATTATATTTTATTTACCTCAATGTTTGACCCTTGTTAATTTGCTGTTCATCATCCATTTCTACATGATCTTGCTGTACTAATTTTTTTCCAGATTGAATTACACGTGATTATGATGCTGTACATGAATGTTAGAGGAGCGTCAAAATGACCTTACTCGAGTAACAGAACAGCTGCTTGAAACAGAGGTAATAAATAACATTATAACAAGATGTTTGCGTTGCTCTTATCCAAGCGTTTTACTTACTTACGCCTGTTACCCCCAAATGCAACATAGGCCGCCAACCAGCATTCTCCAACCCACTCTATCCTGGGTCTTCCTTCCAGTTCTATCCAATTTTTGTTCATTTTTCTCATATCTGTCTCCATTTCTCGACGTAATGTGTTCATTGGTCTTCCTTTCCTCCTTTGGCCTTGAGGATTCAAAGCGAGGGCTTGAGTTGTGACGCAGTTCGGTGCTTTCCTCAATGTGTATTCTATCCACTTCCAGCACTTCTTTCTGATTACTTCCTCCACTGGGATCTGGTTTGTTCTCTCCCATAGTAGGTTGTTGCTGATAATGTCTGGCCAACTGATCCGAAGTATTTTGTGTAGACAGCTGTTAATAAACACTTGTATCTTCTGGATGATGTTTTTCGTATTTCTCCAGGTTTCCGCCCCATACAATAGAACTGTCTTGACATTTGTATTGAAAATATCTGCTAATTGATGTAGTTTCATTTGAAATTTACAGCATAAAACTTGACAATAAATTGTTAACCTTCTATGTGAAGGTCTGTGTGAGTATCTTATGTGGTTAACGTAATTGATTCGTTGAAAAAAAAGGTATAAAAATAGGAAAGTTTTGTACAGTCGGTAAAATAGTTGACGTACAAGTTTGATCAAGCTCTTTCTAAATAATTCGACTACAACTAAACACAGAAACGCAATTATCAATACGAATGTAATTGGCTGTTTAACTGTGAAGAATATGAAGGAATATTGCCACAAAATAACTTTGACGACACTGTTAAATTGAGAGAAAATGGAACTTTTACGGAAAATTATTAAGTATATTTCGGCTGTGTAATTATTAAATCCGTGGATAATATTATTTATTCTATCGCTCTTATTATAAACTTTCACTTATTCCACAAACCGTTACTGCATGCTTTACCATTTGAAAATTATCAGTAATTAATAATAGACTTATTGCTCAATTTTTACGGAGATATATGACTTGGTTATATACAACTTTAAACTTCCTTATTTGTGATGCGACGTGGTCATGTAACTGATTTATTTAATTCTATGAGTGTTGATTCAGGAAGACAAAACAGTAATATAAAAGTTGAATATGTTGAATATCTTCGTAATGTGATTGATTAGTGAGAGGGTGGACCAATAAAAATTGTTTTCCAGCGCATTCAGATTTCTTCTTCCACTGGGATCTGGTTTGTTCTCTCCCATAGTAGGTTGTTGCTGATAGTGTCTGGCCAACGGATCCGAAGTATTTTGTGTAGACAGCTGTTAATAAACACTTGTATCTTCTGGATGATGTTTTTCGTATTTCTCCAGGTTTCCGCCCCATACAATAGAACTGTCTTGACATTTGTATTGAAAATATCTGCTAATTGATGTAGTTTCATTTGAAATTTACAGCATAAAACTTGACAATAAATTGTTAACCTTCTATGTGAAGGTCTGTGTGAGTATCTTATGTGGTTAACGTAATTGATTCGTTGAAAAAAAAGGTATAAAAATAGGAAAGTTTTGTACAGTCGGTAAAATAGTTGACGTACAAGTTTGATCAAGCTCTTTCTAAATAATTCGACTACAACTAAACACAGAAACGCAATTATCAATACGAATGTAATTGGCTGTTTAACTGTGAAGAATATGAAGGAATATTGCCACAAAATAACTTTGACGACACTGTTAAATTGAGAGAAAATGGAACTTTTACGGAAAATTATTAAGTATATTTCGGCTGTGTAATTATTAAATCCGTGGATAATATTATTTATTCTATCGCTCTTATTATAAACTTTCACTTATTCCACAAACCGTTACTGCATGCTTTACCATTTGAAAATTATCAGTAATTAATAATAGACTTATTGCTCAATTTTTACGGAGATATATGACTTGGTTATATACAACTTTAAACTTCCTTATTTGTGATGCGACGTGGTCATGTAACTGATTTATTTAATTCTATGAGTGTTGATTCAGGAAGACAAAACAGTAATATAAAAGTTGAATATGTTGAATATCTTCGTAATGTGATTGATTAGTGAGAGGGTGGACCAATAAAAATTGTTTTCCAGCGCATTCAGATTTCTTCTTCCACTGGGATCTGGTTTGTTCTCTCCCATAGTAGGTTGTTGCTGATAGTGTCTGGCCAACGGATCCGAAGTATTTTGTGTAGACAGCTGTTAATAAACACTTGTATCTTCTGGATGATGTTTTTCGTATTTCTCCAGGTTTCCGCCCCATACAATAGAACTGTCTTGACATTTGTATTGAAAATATCTGCTAATTGATGTAGTTTCATTTGAAATTTACAGCATAAAACTTGACAATAAATTGTTAACCTTCTATGTGAAGGTCTGTGTGAGTATCTTATGTGGTTAACGTAATTGATTCGTTGAAAAAAAAGGTATAAAAATAGGAAAGTTTTGTACAGTCGGTAAAATAGTTGACGTACAAGTTTGATCAAGCTCTTTCTAAATAATTCGACTACAACTAAACACAGAAACGCAATTATCAATACGAATGTAATTGGCTGTTTAACTGTGAAGAATATGAAGGAATATTGCCACAAAATAACTTTGACGACACTGTTAAATTGAGAGAAAATGGAACTTTTACGGAAAATTATTAAGTATATTTCGGCTGTGTAATTATTAAATCCGTGGATAATATTATTTATTCTATCGCTCTTATTATAAACTTTCACTTATTCCACAAACCGTTACTGCATGCTTTACCATTTGAAAATTATCAGTAATTAATAATAGACTTATTGCTCAATTTTTACGGAGATATATGACTTGGTTATATACAACTTTAAACTTCCTTATTTGTGATGCGACGTGGTCATGTAACTGATTTATTTAATTCTATGAGTGTTGATTCAGGAAGACAAAACAGTAATATAAAAGTTGAATATGTTGAATATCTTCGTAATGTGATTGATTAGTGAGAGGGTGGACCAATAAAAATTGTTTTCCAGCGCATTCAGATTTCTTCTTCCACTGGGATCTGGTTTGTTCTCTCCCATAGTAGGTTGTTGCTGATAGTGTCTGGCCAACGGATCCGAAGTATTTTGTGTAGACAGCTGTTAATAAACACTTGTATCTTCTGGATGATGTTTTTCGTATTTCTCCAGGTTTCCGCCCCATACAATAGAACTGTCTTGACATTTGTATTGAAAACTCTGACTTTGGTGTTGGCAGTTGACAATTGTTTTGAGTTCCAGATTTTCTTCAGTTGTAGATATGTTGCTCTTTCTTTGCCGACACGCGCCTTCACATCTGCATCAGATCCACCGTGTTCCTCAATGATGCTGCACAGATATGTAAAGGTTTTTACACCCAAAGATTTTGAGTATGACTATGTGATCCAGTTTGTTAGGTTTATATGTTGATGTGTGTTGTCATTTACATCGACAATGATGTATTGCTAAACTTAAACTGATTGTGTATTTTCTAATTGTTTTCTCAGTTAATAAATTGACACAAATCTTATCACTTATTATTTGTACTATGTATTCAATTACAATTAAATTGACCGGGCAGATGAAAAAAAAACTTAGATTCTTTGCTGCATTTAACAAATCTCAGAGTTCTTTCAAATAATATCACTGATGGATCGCTCGAAGTCCGAAATACTCTAAGCATCCCCTTCTTACTTATTTATTTTTAATATTTAAGTTGTTTAAACACGAACACCTTTTTACAATAACAAATTAACAATAGCATATGTAGTGTTTTTTTGACTTGTGATTAATTGAACTAAAATAAAAATACTAGTAGAACAGGGTTCGAACTACTACATTATATAAACTTTCAAAAAATGGTATGTCATATGTTTAGCGATAAATTTCTAATGCTTATCCAAATATCTTCCAGTTTATGTACCTTAGTTTATGATTAGGTTTTTAATTAACGAAATATCATCATCAAGAGAATATGTTACGTGGGAAAAAATGGTGCAACTGATTTAAAGTATTTATTTCCTTGTTAATTTTGTTAAGAATTATCTGTAATCTATCACATTTATTTTTGGTGTCATGATAATTGCTAATCATTTTCTTATCTCTAAATACTTTTTTTCACTGTAGAATAAATGTAAAAGTCTTAACAATCCAATGTCAGAGCGGAAAGATGTTATTTTAGAACGAGATGAAGACCTGTTCCTTCTCAGTGAAGATAAAGTAAGTGATTTGTTTTATTTTGTTGATTTTGTGTTATCAAGTTCTTACTGGTGGATAAATGATGATAAGTATATTGAGCTGAGTTGGATTCCTACGGCTGGGATCGTGGATGCGCACTACTTAGCAGTCCCATACTAGGATGAAACGGCCGTCTTAATGTTTCCAGGTTTTCAATAGGGGTCTAGCTTTGATCGACTCATGAATTCAACTATTAAAATCACAAGCATTTTTTGTGAACACTTTTTTTGGTGATATCTGTCACTTTTCCCAAATATGGTAATCAGTCTAGAAAATTAAAATGAGAATATATATATTTTGTTTAAAACAATAATTACATTCTAAAAACTTCAAACCAACTTAAAACATTTATCAACACTTGTTTGAATAACAGTAAGATGCTTCCTGAGGTCTATTTGCTTCCATAAATTCATTGAACAATAAATGACTGAGTAAAATATATTTTATGATTCAACGTTTTTTCTTTACTCAACTTTAATAGCTGGTGGATGTGTAACTGTTCATTTAAATCTCTTCATACAAGCAACTAATAACACACAATAGCATCCTTGTTAAATAAACCAACTGACACCAAAATTGATTCTCAATTTATGAGCTTAGGTTTTAATCCTATCAAAATGTTGCAACTATCACAACTTGTTCTCCTAATTTAAGGTAGGTGAAGGTAGTTATTGATCCTTTCTATAATTTAGTTTTTCGCTATTAGTGGTATTTTTGACTTAATCACGTTGGCAGTTTTTTTTGTAGTGTGTTACTTCATACTCCTAATTGTTTACTATCACTCTGGTATTTGTGTCGATAACGTCCTACCTATGTTCTTTTAGAGATAAGTCTTGGGAACACAATAGATGCATTGCATCGTATTGGTTGCTTCAATTGTGTACATCATAATTTTTTATCATTTCGTTCAAAAGAAATAATTCTTATTTTTCTTTTATTGTAAAGAAATCTTTGGAATTAAAAGTTACTCAATTAGAATTGGAAATTGAAGAATTGAAAGCTCAAGTAAAATATATTGACCGTGATAATCTAGTGTCTTCTGCAATTGTTCAAACGGATTTGACGAGTTCGACAAAAATGGTTCAAACAGATGATGTAAGTTGCGTTTTTCCTCAATTTCTCAAAATGTCATTGATAATAGTATTTTCAGTATACTGTTTGCCTATTTTGAAAATTGCTGCTTATCGTATTAACTTTTAATAACGACACGATTCATTGCGCATATATGAAATAGTTCGTTAAGTAAAATGTCAATTTTATTTTATCATCATTCGTGAATACACTTTCTAAAAAATGATTCGGAATTATAGCACCGTCGTTTTGTTGTCACACAGACCTAAACTGTTCTTCATAAGTAAAGATGGATGGTGGCTAGTGGTGGAAACCAGGACGCACGTTTCTACTTATTCGGAACTCGTTATATGAATGAACCTTTATCTCAGAGTTGATGTTCATTCCGGGACTCGAACCCAATACTGTTCGCTTCATACGCTATCAGGACTCAATGGCGCTTGAAGCGAACAGTGCTAGGTTCGTGTCTCGAGGTGAATATGAACCCCAGGATGCAGGTTCATTCACATTACGAGTTCCAAATAAATAGAAGCGCGAGTCCTGTATTTCTCTACTAGCCACCATCCATCTTTGTTTATAATACTTGTGACTTAAGGCAATATCGAGGTAATCCGTATAGGATGCGCATATGCCAATAAAAGACTGATTTATTGCAGTCCTAAACATGAATTGGAAGATCCAAACAAACAATGCGAAAGTGAACTAACTTCTTCTATGTTGAGTAAAACCAATTACGATGGAGGGAAGCGAAGAAAATTATAAGTACCAACTTTTCGGCTGAGATCAATTTATTGTCATGAGGACGTTAGCTGTGCCATATCTTTCTTTCTTACTATTATTCGATAAATAAAAGTGACATTTATTCAATCTTCGTACTCTCCTGTTTTTCAGTAAGTTTTGACGTAATAAAAAACTTTGTTTAGCTGTTAAATTGTTTTAAAAGTTACTTCATTAAATGAATAACCCATTATTTGGAAGTATTTTTTGTCTAGATATTCTTTCACATTTTATTCTCTAAGACATAAAATGTTTCACTTCGTAGTAGCGTTTACAATTTTTAACATTTTTTCTCAATCCTAATAGATCCCTATTTCACTTGAAAATCAACCTTCTGTATATTCTGATCCGAGTAAAGATGTAAAACTGAATATTCTATATGATCGTAAAAATTTTCATCCTAATATTGAACAAGAACATATTCATCAAATATGGGCAACATCTACGCCTAAGGAAGAAGAATCACCTAACTCAACATTTTTATCAGAGGAGAATGATGCACTTTCAGGAGCTGTCTCAGCTGAGCTCAACGTAATCGTTGATTTAATATATTTTTTTTAATGGTTTGATGCATGCAAAATGTTAATTTCCATTTTTCTGAGACAATCCAGTTATAGTACTTTCTCGTAATACATTCAGTTTTCTCCAAAAAATCAAAGGTTCTTGTTGTTAATACGTTCGATACACACCTTATTTTGGTCAGTTCTGCAATATATCCATAAGATCAGTTCTAATCTGTGCTTGTTTAACCGGGCCTCCTGGAGTTAAGAATGTCATGTCGTATGCTTTTTCTCTTTTTTGTAGTAATACTGTTTAACATGTTATGTTTTGTAACGCTATACTGTATTTCTTTTAATTTAGATTTTATCTAATCGTTTAAGAGAAGAGAGTGTTCGACTTGCAACAGTGACTGCAATCGCGACTGCTCGTCAGTCAGTTTGTGATCGACCAGGAAGTATTTTAATTAGTAAAACAAATGATAATGAAGAAACTACTATAAAGGTAGAATATAATGAATGTGCCCCTTGGATTATTGAAATTCGTAATTCCTATTTTGATTTGAAAGAAGCAGTTAATGAAGTGACCAAGGTATTTTAAATTTTTGACATTTTTTCAACAGAATGAAGGTTTGTGGAGTTTGTAGTAATCTTAATAGTTGAATTCATGAGTCGATGTAAACTAGACCACCATTGGAAACCTGAATGCACTGTACGGCCGTTTCGTCCTAGTACGTGCCGTCCAGTGCTTCCAGGTTTTCAATGGTGATCTAACTTACATCGACTCATAAACTCAAATATTAATTTTATTTTGTTTGAATAATATTCTTGTGTGTATTATTTTCGTAAAAATTTATCATTTTAACTTTTAATTATAGATTATACATAACAATCCATGGATTAATAAAGACCAGTCTACCTTTGAAGATAGTGAAGAAACAGTGAGAATGTTTATGAATCGACTTTTAGTTTCGTTAACTAAAGCTTTGGATACCGATGAAAAACTTTGGATTTCAGTAATCACTTCTTCGATTAATCAAACTTGTGATATACTTCGAAGTAGGACGTTATCAGTTCCCAATCCAGGAGTGCAATTACCCACAGAGAATATTTTGTGCCAAATTATACAACATTTGACGGAACGAATATCAGCTTTTATGCGTCGTGAAGATGAGGTATTTCTCTTTCTGCGATTATTGTTCTTTTTTATTTAAATTGTGTTTTTTTCTCCTTAGCGTTTGTTTAGTAAGGTTGTTTTCTACCGGATAGCGTTGCAGACTTTGTGCTCAACTTCTTTCTTTATCCGGGCTTGTGACCGGTAGTAGCTATTGAAGGGCTACAGTAGGATTTATTTTGTTTTTCAGAAAATAATGACGTTGATAATTGACTGATTTGCTCATTTGTTGTTATGTTTCTCTTACAGTTTCGTAAATGTCTTATTGATGTTCTTCATGTAGAAGAAGCTTCATTTAAATCCGAATTGAAAACCCATGTTAATCGTTCTGATGCTTTGGTCGGCGAAAGTAAGTAGCTTATTTTTTATTCAAAGAGTTGTATATTTGTTATTCATATGCTTAAACGTTGAAGTCGAAATATAGTTGTTAAATGTCAAATAAAATCTGCTATATAGTAGAATAGGTGTATCTCTTTTTAACGAGATCTTTTCTAGAAAAAATTCATGAAATATTTCAATGTTAATTAATTTTATTACAAAATGTTTGTAAAGTTTCTAGTTGGTTTAAGGCAGTCGAAATGAATTTCTTAACCTTCGTGCTAGTTAGGGTTTGTCACGTTTTTTGGTAGTTAGCACCCAAGTAGATTCGAACCCAGGGCACTCAGTTTCATAGTCTGGAAGGTTACAATCAAGCTATTCAGACATCGACTGACGACATATAGGTTCAAAATATTTTCATTGATTGATCACTGAATAATGGCCAATGTCATCAGTATTTGTGTCGAATGTATTAGTTTCAATTTTTTTCATATCTTTTGTTCTTCGAACTCATTCATTTATCTCGAGTTATATTTTGTATCCCTTTTGGTTTTTTTTACTACTTATGCTACTTTGGTAATCATCATGATGATTTTGTCTCGGTGTTCTGATATGTTTTAGCAACTTTGGCCGATGCTGATATATGTTTGATTCTGTTACTTATTCTTGACTAGTTGTCGCGCTATGTTATTAATTAACTAACATCGGAAATGTGAATATTTACGTTCCGAATAAATGATCGGTGAGCAACATGTTTACCACACAACCTGAAGATACTAGCTTCCATCACTAGTAGGGTAATGGCTTCACTTTTCCTAAGTGTGCCAAACTCAGACAAAAGAAGCTATTCAACCGCCACTGATTCTGATTGTTTACACAACTGATGTCAATTTTTTGCGATTAATATTTTTTATTAATATATAATTTCATTTTGTTTTTACAGCTCTTTTTAATTTTATATAGCCACTTTAAGTGTAATAATTATCTTCATATTTTTTAAAATATTAAATCATATGCCTTGTTTTAAATTTCAGTGAATCGTTTGACCAAAGTTGTAAGTTCGTTATCAGAAGAATTAAATAATGCAAATAATCGAACTAATGAAATGCAAGGTCAATTGTGTGATTTACAAGTTGATCTTGTTCATACACAGCATGAATTACAATTGAAGGAAGATGAAGTTCAGCGTCAACGAACTAATGTTGAACAGTTAAGGTTAGGTTTAATACATGACATTGTAATTTATAAAATATAATCATTTACGAATGTATTACTCATTTTGAGATCATATGCATATATACTTTTCCCCAAAAACTAAATAGGTTTGTATTATTTTCTCACTAAATTATTAGAATACTAATACTTCTGTTGCTCGAACACTTGATAATGATTTCCTAGATCTCCAGAATTCCCCTACATTTGTACATCAAACAGTAGAGAGGTCTTCATTAATATGAGAGGCTTTACTTCAAGGTTAGCTTATGTACGGAAAACCAAAGTATTTGTAGATTTATGAGTAACCTTTTCATGTTGATAACTCTTATAGTACGACCCATAAAATACAAGGAATAATCATATATTGAAGATATTTGTGGAAATCAAGAAGTCGTTGCACAGTCTAATCGCACTACAAGATTATTTTTACAGAGCTCGCTTTGGTATCACAAATATTTCTGTTTTGGTGGTGATTTGAATCCCTACCATTATATTTCTATCCTTACCCACTACACGCTACCTACTTGCTTCGGCGGCTATACACCACTATTTAGTTACTGACCATAGTATTATTATACGTCAAATGGTTAGCGTTTTTTTCATTCTCATTAAAATCGATAAAGTGATCTATTTTATGCTGAGCACTTGTCGACACTGTCCAACTTTCGTTTCTTTTCTGCTTTACGTTGAGAGGAAGGAATATGAACGTTTGTATTAGAAGAAAAAAACACTGCTCCAGTATGATTGTAAATCATTTCGCTTGGCAGCAGTTTTTTATCATCATGTTTTTATCGTATCTTATTCTTGAACGTCTAGCAACTGATCACTTAATTACTATCCGGTTTCTACTTAATGCGATTATTTTCCTTACTATCTTTCGTTTTACTCAAAACAATTTTTTTCAGTGGAAGAATACTGATAACTAGTTTATTTGTTGAACGTGTTTTTCCACAGGCAATTTTAAGGTGATCTGTTTTTGCTGTATATGTTTTTGCACAATAACGGCTTTTTGTTTTGTTTGAATCTCACCCCTCTATAATTGTTACTTTGTTTTTCTTTTGGCTTTAATTTCATTTTGTGAACCATTGGGACAATGGTTGCCTTTTTGAATGTATCTAATGTTTGTAACTGTGGTACTTTTTGATTGGCTGAAATATATTTGTGTATTATTTGTTTACAAGTTTAAAGATATGTTGATTTAGTGAACTTATAATTCGGTTGATGTTTAAATACGTCCAAAGCGTATCCTTTATAAATTTATAGAGAAAATGATGATAAGTTCTCTGCATAATATCTAGAGCAATCGGGGTCAACTTCAAATGATATATATATTGTGTTTCTCTACCTAATATGACCCATCATATGGTCACCTCATACGTAAACTGTATATTTTAGACCGGTAAATACTCAGTCCCTTTTTCTCTTTATCTCCGCCCTATCTCATTATTGATTTGCACATTACTTCTCAATTCGCATCGGTTTTCTCATCGTTGTTATAGGCCTGACAGCATTTCACCTACGACATATGATATTTTCAATAGTTAGTTATTTTTATTACTTCTGTTATATTAGTTTACTCGACATAACATTTATCCCATTATGGATTACATTCCCATGATTTCTTTTTTAATTATATTATTTACAACACATCTCTATACCCAACAACAAATTTCCCTACTCTTTCTTAGTTAACCTTTCAAATTTACAAATGACACATTTTAGACTTATTTAAATCGTAACCATTCCAAACGTTTGTTATTGGGACATGTTTATAATATTGTTTATTTCACTGATTTAAGGAGGTCCTCCTCTTCTTTCATTGGAATCATCGTCTATTATTCATTGAATACTAATAACAAAAGAAATTATTATATCGTATTTACCGTCACTATAAGTAAAGTAGGTAAGTAAGGATTTAAATTTTCTCCGTATTTCACATCTGGATTCGGGTTCATACACTGCTTTGATTATTTTACTCCGATATATATATATATATATATATATATATATATATATATATATATATATATATATATATATATATTCATACTCCGGATATTTGTACTATTCCAGATTACAATTATGTAAAGAAAATACACAAACAGAGAAATTTCGTACGGAACTTGAAACATTACAGTCAGCTAAGATTCAAGCTGAAAATGAATTGTCATCATCAAATAATTTAATTCAAGTAAATCTATTTTCTTTCCTATCAATTACTTACTTATAATATTCATATTATCATTTTTTTTGGAAAAATGATGATAATATGCACAAAAGAGAATTTTGTTGATTGGTGAAAAGTTAATTTTAACATTGTGTATTTCGTTTTATCAGTTGAATGTTGATTATTAATTTTCCCATTACATGTTTATATAGTTCATTTTTAACTATACCTAATATATACGAAATAATGATATGAATGGACTAATTAAAATGAATTATTTAAAGTAAAGTTTGGACATTCAACCTAATGGTTAGACGTTAATCAATTAAAACATTAGCCTTCAAATGCCCTGGTACAGCTTAGGGTGGGGAGAGTTGACTCTCCCTCTCGAAATGCTCTCACATGGCCACGTGCATACAACCGCTACCAGGGAAGTCCTACTTACTGTCCTCCCGCGACAGAGGTGTTGTTTATGAAATTCAGAGGACGAAAAGCGAATAGCCGGCGCTTTAACCAGGTTGGTGGACAGGTAGGGTTCACATCGGGGAGTTGGAAAACCCTGACTCCAAACCAATGATGCACATGGGCTCCAAGATCCTGATGGAAAAATGGCATATGAACCAATTATTGGTCACCGGCTACCATGGGAATGCATCTCCTGACGTTGCTTGACTGTCTTGTGGACCAGACCTTTAGGTTGAAGGCTCTGGGTGTGACCCCATAAGAAAACCACCTGCTTTGGTCTGGGCACCCGGGTAGTATCGTAGCCCACACACAAAATAAGTGACTTGTATGACGCATATAAATTCGGCGCTCCTTTGTACCAATATTTCTGTGTTAAAATAAATAAATAATAGTAGTGAACCATTGTATTACTATTTCAGCTTATAATTGCATGTATGTGCCTAAAAAGGAATTTAATCTGTTATTATTATTATGGTTTCTTGATGAATTCAATCACTGTCTATACTTTAATTATAGCCATTAATCAAAAATGATTAGTAAAGGAATTTATTTCTACTAGTATCTGAAATAATTTTTGTGATTTAAGCCTGGTGTTTGAAATGTTACCCAAAGTCGTATATGTTATGAATAGTTATGTTTTCAGTGTCTTTTGTGAAAACAAAGACGGCCTGTACATTTTACAATACAAAAACTAGATGTGGAGCTTTTTCTAGTTTCTTTAACATTTTTTTATTGTACATTCTCAGGAATTGAAAATATCATTAACAAATGAAAAGAATCGAGCTCAGTCATTAAAAATTGAATTGGATCAATTATATGACCAAATTAGGAAGAACACTTATCAGTGAGTATTTAGTTTCTTTACACCATCAATTTTCCTGTCTCTAACCTTGTCTTGTTCGGTATTGTCCGACAATGAACGATGTTTTTGTATACAGTATGCTCATCAAAATCTGATATCTCTAAATTTCTATCTGTACTATGGATTTATTATTATTGTATAGTCACCCATGTTAACGAAGTAAAACGTTTATTTCTGTTCCTATCCATTCATTAGCTTTGTGGACCTTATAATAACCGATTTCATTCTTAAATTTCAACACTGACACTTGAACAAGCCTTATAACATTCTATTTAATTTTTCGTAATGGTGTTTGTATTTCTCTTGAAGATAAGAATATAAATACTATGGTTTCCTGCAATAAATCTCAAATTTATGTAAAAGAAAATTGGTATGACGAGTTTGTAGAGATTTTTAAGTAATACAGTTCATATCACAGGTTGCCCTTAGTTCGCCATTGAAAATCAGTAAACAATGTACAGCTGTTTAATGCGGGACTCCTCAATAGTGAGCATACATGAATTCACTTGGCATCGAACCCAAGACCTTCCTTTGTCCCGTGAAATCGTGAATTGATTAGAGTTATAAGTGTGAACCATTGTATAGTAGTAATTCAGCATTTTAAATGTAAAGTACCCAATGTAATGTTCAGATGTCCTTTCTTCAAACCTCAATGAGGTCATGAATGCTCACTGCTGAGTAGTTCAGTGTTAGAATAAAATATATGTTCAGTGTTACTTAGTTTTTATTGGTTATCTGATTAAGGTTAACTTCTAATGTCTAATGAAAACAGTGTATTGTGTTTTTTTTTGTTTTATTAAATCCATTTTTATTTTGAAAAAATCTAATTATGCCTCTTCCACTTGTTTCCCTCTTCATGGTTCTTGCTTTACCAGAACTACACTAATGCCAAATAATATTAATAATAATTATGTTATTGATGAAAATATAACTACGGCTAGTGAAAATAAAGCACCTAATGAGTGTTCATCAAATCTTAATCAACGTGTCTATGAAGCGATAAATCTCGCTACAATTCATTTAGCATCTACTCGACGTGATACAATTAAATTACAAAATCAAGTCAAAGAATTACAGGTAGGATAAATTTTATGTTCTTGTTATGTTTGATTGTCGATATTTTGAAGTAAATAATTATTTTGATTGGATATTATCGGAACCAGTGATTCTATGGTTAAAACATTTATATTTTAATAATTTAATTATAGGTATATATTAACTTGTCCCACTGGATAGTATTACTAGGTGTCAGACACAGTATAGTCAAAATATGGGTACATGAACTTCTACCTGGTTGAGAGTTACATTCAAAAAAAGATGACATTATTTAGGTTCATATTTTTTTTGTATCAAAACATTATCTATTTCGGCCAGGGCGACAAGTGTGAATTTCGTTCAATGAGACAATTTTATTACTTGTATTAATTTACGTGGACTATGCTCGTTGGGTGTTTTTAAAGTAACGGTATTTATTCTCCCTAAAAAGTACCATGGAGTTTATGTACAAAATTAGTATATAAATGTTTGTATTTGTGTTTATTATGACGTGGTTTTGGGACTTGTTTGGAGTTAAGTTTTGGGGGAGTCAATAAACCTTCATTGCGCCAGTCTTTTGTGTTCTCACTATGTCGTAGGAATCTTGGTGGTCACCATTTCCCTGTATAAGCAGTAGGATCAAGGGATTGTACCGGTTTTCGATTGCCGAGTAAAAGCAGTATGATTGCAGACACAAAAGGGTCGACACGTACACCACAACAACGACTCTCAGATGAAACAGTTATCCACCCACTTATAACAGTGTTGATGAAGCAAATTTTCCAGTTATGATAAAAGTCTAATTGTTTTCTTTTTCACTATTCTTTAGACGACTGCTCATGGTTTACGCTTAAATCTCGCCGAAGCAGAACTTCGTCTTATGCCTACTTTGACATCTGTACTGCCAGGTACTTTTAATCTTTCAGGTATTAATAATACATCACAATGTTCCATGATAAAACAATCAGCTACAAAGAAAAAATCGCCTGTTTGTGGAGATCAGTCAGAATTGACAAGTGCCAAGTTTACTAAACTAAAAAATGTTTGCGTAGATTTACTATCACGCGTTGCAGTGGATGAACGTAATGATTATCTACAAAAGGGTGATGATAATGATGATCATAATTCTGATTCACATTCATCAGACGATGATAGTATTGGAGAGAATATTTTCATTGGATCTGGAATCATAAATTCTTTAAATCGTGATGGTGGTTATCGTTTAGATGCTGAACGCGACGAATCCTCATTGAATAATGGTAATAATAACTGTGGCATACTCAATAAAGGATCTTACAGATCTAATAAGGCAACTAACAGACGATCTACTGATACTCTAAATAATTCAGTACGTTTCTTTTTAAAAATAAACAAATTGTTTTGAGACCTTATTCTTAGCGTTTTAAACCTGTTTCTCAATATGAAGTTTATTTCTAGTGAACATTTTTTACAGGCAATATAAATTGATTGTTCATGAAACTACTTCCAACTTCATGAACAATAAATTACGTTATATGTAATGATAAATGAATGTATCTCACTTAATTTATTCGTTACAAGTAAACTGTAAATTCCTTGTATACCAAGATGAGCTCAATTATTTACGTTAAAGATCTTTTTTGTATGGTTCAATTGGTTAGTTATGTGCTGGGAAGTAATTTCGTTACTGTACTTATTGAAATTACTCATTATGCACATTGTGTACTCGGTAGTTTTTAAGTAGTATACTTACTTATTTGACTCAAATTTCCGTACACCAAATTTTGTTTTTCTGTTAAAGATACTAAATATTTGTTTTTTTTTCTTATCAGCTCCAGTCTACATCTGACAGTCACGTGAAAACTATAAATATGGCAAATTCGAATAAGATAAATAACTCTGTCCAAACTTTACCCATTATGACAACTAATGTAATACCGTCTTCACCAAGTGTTCATATTAATCAAACTGTGTCTATGGAACAAGTACGTATTTGAATATTTTCTATAATTATAATTATAATAAGTTTACTGACCTCAATATCATTTACGTGCATTTCTTACACAACCGTTTTTTCTTTGTTTTGTTCTTTGTTTGCTATATTGCTGAATGTATGCATGATTGTAAGAGACTCAAACCATATTCTTTAGAATCCATATCCATTGGAGTTCGGATATATAATTCAATTACGATTATTAACATTTTGTTAACTTGCATTGAGATCATGAACCGATCTAAGTTAGATCACTATTGAAAACCTAGAAGCACTTAGTTGCTTTTTTATCATTTTATAGTACATTAACACCGTTAAATGCCGGCTATTTGGTTTAGAGGTTAAGCGTTCTGACGAAACTGAAGGTCCTTGGTTTGAGTTCTACTTGTAAGACCATACATGCGCACTGCTGAGGAATCCCATACTGGGACGAAACGGTCGTTCAGTGTTTCCAGGTTATCAATGGTGGTCTAATATTGATCGGTTCATGATTTCAATAAGTATTAATATTTTGTTAGTATTTTTTATTATTTGAAGACGATGATAGATGGTGATGATAATAATAATGGTATCCTTGTTGTTGATTAATTGATAGTTGAATTGTATAGGTTACCTATCATAGTTGATAATATCACGCAATAACCTAGTCAGTAATATCAATTCCTTTTCGTTGTTCTAATGTGATGCTGTTATTCTTAGTTAAAGCAGTTGTTTGTCTGCCAACGATAAATTTTTATGATTTGAGTTTCGTTTAAATATTTTCAACCAAAATGTCTAAGTTTATTATTGTTGTTATCAGATCAGTTTTGGGACTGATTATATATGGCATATCATCAGGTCATAGCAATTATTGTTTACAGATATCCATGTGATTTTTACTGTGGCAATTATCACTGATAGTAATTGATCAATGTATTCATTCTTCACTAATTTTCGACTTACTCTACATATAATCTTGACTGTTAAAATTCAATGTAAATTGTTTGTAATAATAATTCGAACATAGAAATACTGTATCTTGTAAATAAAGTAATCAGTTCTAATGGCAATAGCTTTTGTCTAGTGTTCACTTAGTTTTTTTCATTAACTCTTGATAATGTAATATGACATTTTCCTTACAATTTATACCAGTTTAACTTGCCTCATGCCGTTACTTAAATCACTATTCAAAAACGTATCTCATTTCTACTTTTTCACTAACTTTTTTAGTATTTCTCGCTATACGTCCGTTTTCTTCGTGCTCAAAGCTATCGTCGTTCACTATCATTCCAAAAACATTATTTACTTCTTCTTTTGGGTAATTTTCAATATACAGAAAATGTAGTAGTTGCAATTCTTGGATGTCCTGAATCTCGGGGCACCTCACAAACAGATCCTAAAAATAGATCTTCACAAGTGAACTTAAGCCCACTCCGAAGATTTCGTACCATAGGTCGTGTTTTCCAAGTTATTCATAGGTGAGTTAAAGTATTGTAATAATAATAATAGTAGTATATTATTTATCCGTCGAAATAATTCAATACTGTTTATGTGTGATTAATAAATTCGAGTCTTACGCCGAGCATCCTATGGGGTTGCTTAAGAGTTTGTGAACGCTTGTCGTATAGGATAGTCTTGTTAAATGACATTTGGTTATTTTTAATCAACCTTGTTGATTTGCCTGTGCAAGTTACTCTTATTGTTAGTTGTGTGCTGCTGATATTCTTGACAGATAACTTAATTCTCTTCGGTTACAATGTCAACAAATGTTCAGAGGTAAGTAAATATTTTTCATTTAAATTGCAAAATTTGACGTTGACTGATATCAAATTTAAAAACAAAAAAATGAATCGGTTGAATGTCGTCAGCTATCTGTTATTTGATAAACATTATTTACGTCTATTGAGACTTTGATAGATATTCGACAGCTTACACCAAATAAAATAATAAACCTATAGTCATTGGTTGAATGTTTCCATTCATAATTTTGTCATAGTTCGTTGAAAAAAAGCGGTTGATTTTACTTCTATAGTAAAAGTACTGGGTCCATACGCTCTTCTAAAGTCACTCATTGACAAATGCATAATCGAAAAATTATAACTTGCACAAACATGAAAAGTAGTAAACTTTATTTTTTTAATAAGAATAAGCGACAAGTATGTCTACTTTAATGTGAGTTATTTATAACTGTATCATCCAGCTTGATCAACTCTAGAATCTCATCTATAACGTCTTTAAACTTCATAAACAGTTCAAACCAATCACTCAATGAATTTCTTGACAAAATGCCATACTTTTAACCATGAATTTCTAAGATAAATCTATGTTCATAATGAAGATGAAGTATACTGGTGTTTGATCTTCTGTCTCCTAATTTATTTAGCATTCTGTTACAAAATAATTATAAATTTGCTGTACTATATATTTTATTTCATATGGATTTTACCTGGAAAAATTTATTCACTTTTTAGAATGAAACTTTTAGTCAATAAGTGGCGACGTTTAGATATACCTTCTATGGAATCAACTCCTATTAATAATAAAATTTTATATATGCATACAACAACTCCAACTTCATATTATGCACCACCATTCCAAAATAGGTCATTTAGTTCCACTTTAGATCGTAACAACCGAAATAATCGAGTTCCTAACGGGTCTTTACGAACACCTTTGAAAGAATTACATGCGGAAGAATCCAACAATACATATTCATCTGTACTACAAAATTCTTCTCTTTTCAATGGAAAACAATGTTTATCAAATTATCCGGTTCATACTCCTAGATTGTCACAAATTCAAACTTCACCCAGTGGTTACAGTTCATTGTTGGAAAATCAAACAATCTCTACCGGTTCTTCACATCGGCGGTATGTTAATTTTTGTTATATAATGTGTTAGTATGTCTGTGTTGTATGACTTCTTGTTATAACTACAAAAAAGCAGCCACTTCTTACAGCAGAGAAAGTATGATTTGGCCTATTGCAAGAACAGGCATGACTCTAGATGAGGATTTATTACACACCGTAAATAAATCAAACTATATCTAAATACATTGAGTTATATATGATTTGCTCTTATAGTTAGTAAACAACTTTGAGTACATAAAGTTCATCAGTATTTGATGTAAATTAATCATCACTTTTATACATGCATGGAATACCAACAGATTAACCATTTAATATCTCTACATAGTGCTTGTAATATTAAGTCACTTGGATTTGTGGCCACATACAACTTGATAAATAAAATTCTATCAGCATTAAGGAAAGACTTGACATACATAATATTAGTCATTTCTTAACGATCAAAAAACTATACACCCGATGTTATTCATTGGTAAATGTATCTGACTATGAAATTGGGTGATACAAGATCGGATCCTCCAGAGAACATCAGCTCTCTAAAGACTGCTGGCACGCCTTGTTGATGGATACTAAGTAGCACGTTATCTAGTTCTACGTTTTCCCTTCGATAACCTCTAACAAACACCTCAACTGTTTTAACAAGCTTTTATCACTGAATTATACTTTTATCCATCTCTAACAATTCTGCCGTTATTTTGTGGTCATTAATAATACATAAACATTTTGGTAAAGCTTGGAGTAAAAAGCATTTGCCACAGAAATTAGGATAATACTATTTTGAAAGTACAAGATGGAATTAAAGCATAATCCTTAAATAAATAATCAAAGGTAGTAGTTAGTAAAATAAAAATTTATTTTAAAAAACAATCAGTAGACGTTTATCTTACTTTGATGAACCAGTGAAAGATAATAAAGTCAGTGTTTTTAGATCGTTTTACTAATTGGATTGTTATCACGAATTACCGGACGTCGGTATTATCTACACTTTGGTTTCACCTGATGCGAGCACTCCTTCAAAGACAACAATAACTGAACATATAAGTTCACCAAACATCCGTCGATTTGAGTCATCCGGTGTTACAGAAACAGAGTAGTACTGTTCTCATTCACGTGTTTTACACACATTTTAAAATCAGACTGATGGCGTAATGACACTGAAAATAGCTCAGACAGGTGTAAACTTTCCTGAATTTTGCTATTTGTAGATTGATCTCATCTACCACGTCAAACCCCGGGACACACAACCAACCAGTTTGATGCACAAAATATTCAACCAAGAGTACTGTCAAATTACAAAATTACAAGCGTATAATCACAAAATAAACCAATTTTCGGTTCTTTGCTACTTATCTAACTATGTATGTTATATTCTTTATTCACAAATACTTTATTTCTTATGGCGTTTATATATAGAATACTTTCTCCCTAACTACATTGAAATTATCCACTATGTACTTTATATCTAGTTCAACACAGTTTTTATATTTTAAATGTTTCAGGCAACCATATTCATCATTTAATCTATCAACAACAACAAAAACGCCAACAACAATTGCAATCACTCGACAACTTCCTGTTACCTATATTCCAATTAATAAATCAAATTTTTCTTATGATCGTCCATTTACTAGAAATTATCATCAACAATCTTCTTCATCTTCATCTAGTCTATCTATTGAGAATCGACATCGTGTTTCTTCAGTTTCCTCTTCCATTTTTTGTCGAGTCGATTCCATTCAAACACAGACATTACGAACTTCAAGTCATAATCATCATAGCAGAAATCAAATTATCAGTACAAATAAACGTCCTAGTTTTAGCTAATTGATTAGTTATTCTTATTATTTGTTTTTGAATGGAATCCGTTGACGTACAATCACTGTGTATATCCGAATATAATTATAGGCAAGTTGTATAATATAGTGGATTTTATTTTCATTTTTATGATTTTTTGAAATTCTTCTAATCTTCTCTCTTTGTTATTTTACAATCTTCATCCATCTGCTCATTCGGTTGTTCATTTATTTGTTTTGAGAACTTTTTTTTAAAGAAGTAAATCTTATTCTGTTCTCAGATTATGTTTTTTTCTAAGATGAAAATATTGCATATTATGTATGTATTAATACTACTATTATTATCATTATACGTATGAGTGATGATGATACAACTAACGCGACGCATTTAGTGTGTTCTCTTTTTAAGAATTAAATAAACATCTATCTATCTATTTTACTGTGTACCAATTGACCATATGATTCTATTTTGTTCAATAAGTAAACTATGTTTATGAACAAAGATATAGAACATTAATGTTAAACCGATTATGGGAATATCCCATTATTATGAATTTATATGTTATTACTATTATTATTATTATTATGAATATTCAATAATTGATACCGTTGTCAATCTAGCCAACTTTTTATAAATTTTCATTATCGAACCTAATACATGAGATTTTTAAGTGCTCTATGTTATTAATCTGTTTTCCAGATGTGTACAGTACTCGATTTATATATCTATCTGTGTAAACTAGTTCTTTGGTTAGTTAACTCTCCCTTTGTGTACAAAATTTACTACCCTTCAATTGTATAAGAAATATATAACTAAATCTGAGAAAACCATGTTTTTATTAATAACTCAAAAATTTCAATGCAACTTAATTTTAAGTACGTGAACTTATCCTTGGTAAATGAGTCACATACACAGTCTTATGGTAATACAAATAAGGTGGATGTTCGCCAGTTTCATTAATTTAACCAGAATCGATACACGGTATTATGGTTTTAGTTCTAATCCAGCTTCCTTGTAAATAATTATTCGGATATATACTTCCTTTCATTGCATGTTAAGCTTAATAACTTTGTTTTGAAGGTGCCAGTGATACTACTGATAAAAATTTCCTAAAATGATCTAATTATTAGATCGATTTCATCAGATTGTTGTAGTGGACCTACGTCCACTGTTTTAAAATGAGTGGGTTACTTAGTCCCACAATTTTTTATACTGAATTGTTAACAACTGTAGGTACTTTTATGAATTTTATATTAAAAAGTAACAAGCCATTCGGATAACAAATATAATACCCTAAACATTATAAGCAAATATGGATGGTGGCTAGTAATGGAATCCAGGACGTGCGTGAAACGTTCACGACCTTTTGTAAAATTTAAAAGAGTTTATTTATTGCATCTACTACATTCACTAATTTCGTAACTTAAGTATCACATGAATTTCTACTCTAGTCAAAATAAACGTTATCATTTATTTTCTTCAATAAAAAGCTGTCAATATCTAATAAAAACACCAATTAGCTACAACGTAGGACCAGGCACATTTATAAATCAGTTCAAGTTGCCACACTTCATTGGCACACAAAGATATATATCAAATTCATAGCAGTAGTTACTTCAGTGGTAGTGATAATTAAAAAAAGATTGCATATACGAATATAATACAAGGAAAAAAATTAGTTCATAGTTCGGCTTGGGTAATACATGTCCCAACCATTTCAGTCGATGTAGATTGACAACTTCATCAACTGATTTACCATCATTCCCTAATATTCTAATTCTAACCCCACTCTTACACGGTGATCCCAGCAGATGCGAGCAATATTTCTAAGAAATATGAGATCAAATGTTAGTAACTTGCGAATATCTCTTAATGGCCACGTTTCGCAGCCGTAAAGTAAAACAGAACGAACTGCTGCGCAGTATGCTCGTTTCAGAGTATATTCGTTTGAGAATCTATCTCTAGTTCAGTAAAATAATATTTTATATCTAAACTGGGATTCTACTGGATCAAAAGGTATGATAACTTTTTTCGCTAGTACACATTGATTCAATGTTGAGAAAATAAGTTAACTGGATTCAGTATATATCTCTTACAAATATTTTTATATGCCGTGAAACCTTCAGTAGAATAGAACTACTGTATTCTGAGTAGTTAGTGGATATTTTAGCGCTGAGTATGTGTTGTGTTTTGTTGTTGGGGTTCAGTACGACCTACAATGTTATGGATTCAGGAACAAAAACGACTGAGTTTTTCTGATAAGATAGGTTCTCTTAGGAATTGACAACAGTAAATTATACTCAACACATCAAACCTCGATGACGGTATGAGATTAAATTCTTCACTGTGTTCACTTGAAAATTTAAAATGGCAGTATTTAAAGAGTTCTGAATTCGAAAAGTTGAATTCATTTGTCGATCTAAGCTAGACTACCGTTAAGAACTTGAAAGCACTGGACAGCCATCACGTCCTAGTATGGGACTGCTCAGCAGTGCGCATCTACGTTCCGCTACTTCTTGTATCTATGAAGAATACTGGCAGAGCAAAGATATTTAGGGTATTTATGAGATTCATTAATTCAACTATTAAAATCACTACAATCTCTACAAATCCCCATTCTGATAATCCTAAATTTATTAAAAATTTGATATTTCAAACTTTTTTTCCAATGTACTGTGTGTATAAAATTCATTACAAAAACAATTTGTAAATGGATGTGTCGATATGCTTAACATAGTTTTAATGTTCATTGAACAATAATGATTAGAAAACGTCCACTCAAATGAATGCATATGTTGAAGTTAATAAAAATCCAAAAAGTGGAAGATTAATATAAATTCTGGAAAACAATGCATAGGTTTTCCCTCATCAACCATTAGAAAGCAACACTGTTGAAACAACCAATCATATGCTTACATACATAGGCTCACACCTTTATATGATATGACAGGGATAGTTTTGGACACGCCTATTGCAATGTAAGTAAAGGTTTTTGGTAAAAATGTGTGTAGCTAAGATATTTAAAAGTATACAAATTACAAAAATGAAATTATAACTCAAGCAAGTCGTGTTATATTTTAATGACTTAGCGATATCTGATATCTAAAGCCATCGATCTGTAACTTATCTCTTTAACTCATAGGCTTTAAATTGGTAAATAATTTTAAAACTTCAGTTGTTTTGACTCGCTAAATTGATCTGATAATTAAAATAACCCATGATATCATTAAATAAGAAAAAGAGAATTTAGCGAAAAAACTATTATCTGACCCATAAATTATTTTCTTCTTTACCCCTTGATTAGTTAGTACGTAACCTCATTTGTTATTTATTCTCGAATCCATTTTTAGGATGCAATCTTTTCTATCCTCCTATAGACATATATTTTCCATATAGCTATATATATACGAACGTACAGCTTAAGTAAATGATTTCGTCGAAAAGAAAATTGATCTGAATTCAGAAATGATTTCATATTATTAAACTGTGCATATCATGAGTCTGCCTTCACACTTTAAACCAAAGTGATGAAAGAACCTACCTCTAGAAAAATACTGTTTTGAGAAATAATAAATGGTTTTAAAGGAAACCAGGATTTTAAAATGCTTTACTACTGTAAATATAGACTTTATAATGGTCAGAAATTACAATCTATTCATCTTAGTACCTGACTAGATTTTCCAGTGAGAAAACGTTTATTGTTTCTATGTATCACCACACTCTTATTCGCTTTCAAAATCAATGTTAAATAGGAAAGAGTAGAGAAATTCATGATGATAAAGTTGAGACTAGAATTTATGAATGACCTTTGAGCGACGCTTAAGTGACCTTGAGAATGTCCGCCCATTTACTAGGGGGTTATAAACCAGTATAAGGATTCATGATTATGATTTGGTGTTGATGGTTAGGGTTAGGAATTAGCCTTGGGGTTTTCATCACGAACTGACCTCAGCTTAAGTGTCAAAATGCTATTTAGCCAAATGGATGAATGAATTTCATACCAAAATCCATGACCTGTTATCATAAATCTGAATGGTTCGTCCATAAATTATAGTCTCGCCAGATTACGTAGAACAAAGAATTGAGCGACTAATGACTGGTAATATTAACACAAATGATATTTATAATATTTTATTATAATCAGTAAGATTTTTCTATCCAGGACTGTATGTTAGTTAGTAAATCTAATAGTTAAAAACATATCTTACTAGCTAGTACGTGACAGAATGTCTTATACGAGATCTGAATTAATTCATGTCTATAATTCGTTCAAACCAATAGAAGTGCTTAACTGTTTACCTTTCAGAAGTTTTAGTTTATGAAAGGCTAATTGAACTATCAGTTTTCATATCTAGGATGGTGTAATAAACTGAATACATGACTATCACATAAATAATCAATTTTTCAGAAGTGAACCATTCATTACACCTATCAATATTCAGGCTTAAACACTTGTGATCTTAATTTTTTCACAAACTCTTAGGCTATCCGTATTTTTGTCTGGAACTTAAATCAATTAAAAATGATGAGGTATGATTAAGGTGTTTATACAAGGAATTGTTTTAAGTAATGGGGCCAAGGTTTACTTTGATACTCATAGACAACCTTGGATTTTAGGAAAGAAATGCAACAATGAATAGTAATTTGTGATTCTGACCAGTTAGGTTACAAAAAGAATCACATGTATTTGTTGCATTTCAAATTGTATCAAACGTAGGACTGGGTGTATTCTTCATTATATATTCATACGGTTGCTTTTATTCTCCTTTATCCACTATTTCTCTATAGTAACTACTAGAAAATGGATTTTTAGTGCTAAGAAACAAGATTTTAGTTTCCGTCTTTCGGGGTCCTTTGTTGAAGATGATGCATTTGTCATGCTGAACTGGTACTGAGTAGCTTATACTTCAGTGAATATTTCCTGATAGTTAAAAAGATAGACTTCTAAAATTGATGAAGAATCCTGGTAGAACAAATATATTTCGGGAATTTATCAGCTTTTATAACAAATTTAGTAACCGTTATTGATACCCAACTATAACAAAACAGCTGGCTAATTAAATATAGACACATTTATATACCTAGTTATATTTAAAAAACTAACGGAAGTACACCTCAACAAATATTGTTCCTCAATATTAGTTCATAATGGATATGTTACTAGATGCTTTGGAGAGCATATTTGAAAGAAAGTAAACATAAAAATTATTGTTATGATTATAACATTCCAAGTGTCTGATATTCAATCACTTTAATTTCATCTCTCTAAAACTGATTTACTGTCTCTCTCTTTGTTCAGAATAGAAAGCAATTAAGTTTTTAGTTGATAGGTGTGGAAAAGAATTTTTAATTGTGCATATATTCAATCAAACTGTTTAGTACATTTTTGTATGTCCTTGGAATGTAAAAATGTTTAATGTAAACTTGGAGTTAATTTCCCTAATTAACATAATTCTGATTATCAGAATGGGTTTTGTGGAGATTTTTAGAAATTTCACTCGTTGAAATCACGAGTCAATTAGAGCTATACCACCATGGAAAACCTGCAAGCAGTGGACGGCCGTTTCGTGGATGCGCATTGCTGAGGAGTCCCATACTAGGGTGAAACGGCTGTCCACTGCTTCCAGGTTTTCCATGGTGGTCTAGCTTCAGTTGACTCATGATTTCAACAAGTGAAATAAGTCTGATTATTTATTTTTATGAGCACAAGGGGTTCTAATAGACAATTATATATAAAAGACTTTTTAAAGAGCTGTGTATACGTTGTACGAGAGAAATATTTTATATTAATGGTTTTTATCAGAAGGGGTTTTGGTAATTTAA